AGCTTCCTTGCTGCCAGTGGAAAAACTTTGACCTTGAACCCAGAACTAGGTTTGAGACCGTGTCTTTTAGCAAGTCACTTCATCTGTCTACATCTCCACTTCTTCATCTATTAAATGGGGATGGGGATTTCTATTTCTCAGGGATTTTATGAGACTCACATGAGATAACATGTAAAAAAAAAAAAAGTGCTTTATACACCCCTCAAATACTGTGAGGGTATTGCCATTTGTACTTCTAGCATCAGCTGGAATCTTGCCTCCCTGGGTAGCCTGCCTTGACCTTGCTTGTTGCCACCAGCTTGTTTCTTATCTTAATCACCTATTGTGCTTTTTGTCTGTATTTATTTGTCTGGTTAATGGGGATGTTTCAAGTTGACACCCCAGTCAGACTGTATATTCCTTGAGAGCAAGGAATGTGCATCTCAGCCGCAAGGTCCAGAAGGGAGCTCAGTAAACACTCCTGGGTCTGCATGAGGACACGTTTAACCAGGGCCATGCTCAAGTTATAGATTCCATATACCACGTATTGTACAGGACCGCCCCGTGGTCACAGGAAGGCCACCAAGAAGGATAAGAGCGGGGACTTTGTAGAAAGAGAAACCGGAGTGAGAAATACATTTCCGATGATCTGGAAAACTTAGATAAAATATATTTTTACTAAAAAATAAATAAACCAGAGAATTGTAATGTGCCATGTCTAGAATTATCATTAAAAAAAAAAATCTGGTCTTTGCAGTGAATTCTAGGACCCATCTAGGGAGAGAAAATAAGGCACATGTACTTTAGGACATGAAGCCTCGTTGACCTAAGAAGGACCAGCAACATGACCCAACAAACTGGTCAAAATCAGCCTGACCAAGAAATGAAGCCCAACACAGTGGTGACTTGGCGACAAGCAGCTGTAGGGCCAAAGTCTGACTGCGACTAGTGCTCCGATTAGCCTGGCAGTGGGATCATTAACATCAGCCATGGTGGAGAGCCTTCTAGTGCTCCCATCCCGTCTATACTCATCTCACTTGATCCTGACCAAGAAGACAGGAGAAGGCTCCCATTTCACAGATGAGGCCATCAGGGCACTGAGAATGCATTTTCTTGTTCAACATCAGATAGCGAGACAAATGGGTTACCAGTGTATTAAAACCAGTATTAATACAGTGTATTAACCAGTGTATTAAAACCAGTCCTCCTAACTTCCTGTCCCCTGGTCTGTTGGCTTGAGAGGCCCAACCTGTGGTTGATGGGGTGAGGTCAACTGGGTGCATCAGTTGGGTCAACGCAGGTCTTACCCTCACATTTAGCTGTAATTCTTCGTGTTGCTGATTCAATGATGGCAGTGCTACACATGTTTGTCTGTTCTTCCAAGAGTCAAAATTAGATATCTCTGGGCTGTGTCAAGGTTAACTAGATAATCCAATTGAAGTCATGCTGGTCCCAGAGCACTAATGTAAAACAGGTACCTGAAGTAGAGCTCAGACATTTAAACCAAGACTCTGCGTGAGATTCTCAACCTTTCTTTTTCTCAGTGTGAAGACTTTGCTGTTTATTTTTGCTAAAGTCACTATCTCCTACCATTAAGCAGTAGAAAGAGTATGTTTTGGCCTGGGAAGAGATGGGTTCTAGTCCTAGCCCTGCTGCTAATTAGCTGAACTGTTCTAGGTTAGTAACTCAACCTGACCGGGCCTCAGTTTCCAGATCTGTGAAATGGGGACAACAGCAGTGCCTGCCTTGCCCATCTCACATGCAGGTGGAATTAGACAGGGAGCACCTACGTGTCTCAGGACTTCTATGTATCTGCTCACTGACTGTACCGTCTCCAGGGGCTTATACAGGCACTAGCTTGTGACCTTGAGAAGTTAAATGTGATGTCTGAGTCTCAGTTCCCACATGTGTAAATCATGCTCACAATGCCTCCCATAATTGTCCCACTAAGAGGATTATAATGAGGTACTATATGTAAGGTTCTCAGTGCAGCATCCAACATAAAAGTGTCAGTAAACATTTGTGCCACCAAGGGAACATAGTAGGGGCCAAATCTCAAAGGCCACTGCCGGACAGAGGGCCACCTCCAGACAGCCTTTTCCTTCCCTGGCTCTTCCTCTCTGTCCGCTCTTCCACTTCAAGGAAAGGGTGATGGCAGAGGGAAGCACTGTGTGTGCAGATCTTGGCATGAAGGTCACAGCCTATGCTGGTGTCTGTTTCACTCAGGACGCCTTCTCTTGTTGCTGTTGTTGTTTAGTTGCTAAGTAGTGTCCAGTGCTCTTTGCTACCCCTGGACTGTAGCCCACCAGGTCCCTCTGTCCATGGGATTTTCCAGGCAAGAATGCTGGAGTGGGTTGCCATTTCCTTCTTCAGGGGATCGCCCCAACCCAAGGATCAAACCCACATCTCCTACATTGGCAGGCGGATTCTTTACCACTGAGCCACCAGGAAAGCCCAGGCTTTCTCTAGAGGCTCCTAATGGTTGGTCATGTGTTGATGATGCTTTTTTCAGAAAGCGTGGACATAGGTGCTGGAGAGTGGAATCAATGTCCTAAAGATACCGGCTCTCCTTCACCTGCTGCCCTGACACACAGGTGCAGTGGGTACAGTCACAGCATCCTGTCTCTTTCCCACCCTCCCTTCCTGGGCCAGGACGCCTACAAACCTTGACCAACTGCTTGTGCTCCACAGTCAGAGGTCAGGATTTAAAGGCAAATGGGAGGGACTAGTATACAAACTGCCACTACTGGCTGGAGCAAGAGCAGGATGATCCTACGGGGAGGCTCAGGGATGGGTGTGATGATGGGCAGGGTGTTAGGCCCCGAGGTGTAACAGCTGAAAGTCAGCGTGGGGGAGGGGGGGTTGCAAGGAGGAAGCAGGTTTGGTAAAGGAAACAGAAAATAGATAGGGCAAGAAAAACAATCCCACCCATTTCACAATTTTTCAGAAGGTTCTTCTAGACCATCGATAGCTGCTGGAGTTTCTTCTTGCATCCTGAATCTACGATGCTTAATCCATCCAAGGAGCTGGATGTTCTGTTTTTTTAAAATAAAGCATGTTGTAAAGTCAAAACAGTCTGCCCCAAATCTTGAGGGGTTTGAGAGATGGCATCCCCAAATCTTGAGGGGTTTGAGAGATGGTGTGTCAGCATTTGGGGAATCCCCAAAATACTGATTATTTTTTTTCTGTCCAGATAACAGGGTGCAAAGCCAAACAAAAGGAGAAGTAACCTTTGGTTTTAGAACTCTCAGGAGAAAGGATAGACAGAGCAAGCCAGAGCTGGTTGGGTGAGGCCTTGAGAGCTATGAGCGTCATTGGACACTTGTTTATTAAACAAGCAATAGAGGTATTTTATAGAAACATAAGAAAATATGGATAAGCACTTAAAAAAAATCTCCTCCTTACCTCACTGACCTGACACTGTGAACATTTTTGAAGATAGGGAGGCAGGACATCGTTGGTGGGTACAAGCCTAGATGCCTGGTGTAGAGTCCCACTTCCCTACCTAGAGGCTGTCTTAGAGGCTGCAGGTGAATTATAGCAGTCCCCCCCTTATCCGTGGTTTCACTTTCTGCGATTTCAGTTCTGCACAGTCAACCCCAAGATGAAAATATTGAATGGAAAATTCTAGAAATAAACAATTCATAAGTTTTCCATCTCATGCCATTCTGAGTAGCATGATGAAATCTCCTGCCGTCCCACCCAGGACATGAATCATTCCTTTGTCCAGTGTATTTGTGCCGTATATGCTACCTGCCCATTAGTCTAGGGAAAAACAGTACATGTAGGGTTCCTGGACTGTTGGTGGTTTCAGGCATCCACTGGGGATCCTGGAATGAATCCCTGCGAATAAAGGAGGGACTATGATACTTGACCTCTATAGACCCATTTCCTCATCTGTAAATTAGGGATAATAATAACTACTTCCAAGGGTAGTTGTGAGAATTAAAGAAGCCAGTCCAGTAGTGCTTACCACAGTCCCTGGAATATAGTAAGCACCATATACAGGGCAACTGTAAGAATAATAATCATTAGTATTTTGTTTCTAGATTTTTCCTATATAAGAAATGTTATGTATAATACATATATTTCCGTGAAGATAGGATTCTGCTGTACTCTTTTGTAACATTTTTACTCTCATGCCTATCTTTTCATGGACAATTTTGTTATTACTATTAGCTAACACTATTTTACCATTGGAATAGACCTGGCATTAAAGATTTTCCACATGTTATCACATTCAGTCCTCAACATTAACTCTGTGGGGCAAGTACTGTATTATCATTTTACAGATGAGAAAACTGAGGCTAACCAGTTTAAATAATATAAATGTACAGAGCTGGCGAGTGGACCTTTCTCCTGCAAGGAGAAGGGGGATGAGACTGACTGGAAGCCTGTGCTGGTAGATCAGAGAGGAATCGTGTCTGTGCTTGGTCCTTTTTAACCCTTGGCAGGTGTGTGCTTTGGGACATCAGACTGATAGGTGTCCGTCTGGTTGATTGCTCCTGGGCTCTAGTGGCGTTTTCCATTTTTGTGATGGAAATCACTGATATGAAATGGAATCTAAGGTCCAGTACTGGGCTTAGTTGTTCAAGCAATTTACCCAGAAGCAGTTCTTCATCTTGTTCTCCAGAGGCTTTGACACAGCCATCTAAGCCACTGGCCACAGCTTCCTCACACTTCCCTGTCTGTCCTGGGCATTCACCTTAGTCCCCAAATAGCCCCGAGCATTGCCAGTGGATTGACTCAACCAGCAAGTCTTTGCTCAGTCTTCACCCACTGGAAGCCCTGGTGTGGACTCCATGGTGTGCGGGATGGGAGGGCTGCTGAGAAGACACGAGGTGCACACAGGCAGAGCTCTTTGTCCCCTGTGGCTCAGGTGACCGATGTGAGCCCACATCAGCTCAGCGGGAGAGTCTGGCCATGCCTTGGATGGGGGAGTCCTGAGGATGTCAAGACTGGGGATGTGATGGGATGGCATTGAGGTTCTGGAGACTAACCCCTGTCTTCTCTCAACGTAGGAGCAGCTCAGAGAGGAGGAAGGAGAAGTCCCGAGATGCAGCCAGGTGCCGGCGGAGCAAGGAAACAGAGGTCTTCTACGAGCTGGCGCACGAGCTGCCCCTGCCCCACAGCGTGAGCTCACACTTGGACAAGGCCTCCATCATGCGGCTGGCCATCAGTTTCCTGCGCACGCACAAGCTCCTGTCCTCCGGTGAGGCCGCGAACCCTGGGCTCCCCGCCTCCCCCGTGTTCTCACATGCAGGAGCCTGAGTTGGAAAGCCACAGGCACAGAGGGAGGGTTTTCCTCCCCAGGAACCCCCACTCTGCACACCTTCCACCCACAGCAATGCCATCATTAGCACTTAGTTCTCTTTTGTTGAACCTCTTTCCAGTAGTGGCCTTGGTGGTGATTACAGTCATGGCTGAAGCCCTGGGCCGTGGAGGGGACACAGAGGGCTGGGGGCGTGAGAGCCGCTGGTGCTGGCTCCCAGTTTGCAGTCCAGGCTGGATGAATCCTTTAGGGACCATCTTAGTGTGAGTCTGCCGGCCAGCTTCTCCAGAAGGCAGAGGCATGCCCATATGAACCTTCCCTCTTACTAGTCAGGATGCCAGGCAGATTATTCAGTGTCTATGCCCTTAGGTTCCTCATCCATAAAAGGGTTAGAATACTTATTGCTCGGGGTATCTTTAAGAATAAACTGAGATAATGTCTGTGAAACACAGGCCCAGCCACACTGGGGAGCCCCGGACAGATAACCATCTCCCCTCAGAACCCACGAATTCTCACCTTCCCTGCTATCTCTGCAAGTCTCAAGGTCACAAAACTTTTTTCCCCCTGCTCAGAGTTCACCTTCTTCAGAATACCATTTCCTGTTAGTCCTGACCAGGAGGAGGAGGCCTGGGGCTTCTGCCAGTATCAGATCTGACAGAGAGTCAGTCCTTTCTAGTCTGCCAGCTGTGTAAGGAAACTGGGCAGGGGGCCGGGCCCTTCCGCGCCCACCGCCCCCACCCGGCCGTGGCTCTGTCAGTGGCCGCGTCCGAGGTGGTGAGCAGAGCGGGGCGGCAGGGGGAGTTCTTTCGTGCTTGGGTTTCAGTTTTCCTGAGCGAGCCGTGTACCTTGGAGCGGGGTGGACTCTGCCATCCTGTTATGCAGCAGCTATTCTGGGAAGGAAACCCAGAACAGAGGGAATCCAGTGTGAGGCGGGGAGGCCAGAGCACCATGTGCTATTCTGGGCCCGGGAGCACAGGAAGGATATTGGGGGAAGACTTTCAGAAAATAGGATGACAGAGCAGTGGGTCCAGGGGTTGGAGGGCTAACCCTGGCCTGAAAATCTAAAGCATCTCAGAAGAGAGCAGACAGGAGGGAGAGAACCCAGGGGGAAAACTTCCTCTAAAAATACTTTGAAAGAAACAGTGCAAGGCGATGGCAGACATGGTGTCATAGATGCTACAGAGAAAGGGAACCATGGGCTGAAGTGTAAGAAAGGCCTGGAAATGCCATCACAGGGCATGGATGTACCTCTTTCCTTTAAAGAAGTATGTCCTCTAGGACAGGTTGAGGGCAGTGTCTGGCCATGTTGGAATCATCTTTCCATTTGCACAGAACAGGGAGTGGAGGACTCAAGGGCTAAACAAAGACCCCTTCCCCACACCCAGAAGCATCTCATCTTCCCTGTTCCAATACTTGAAGTTCCACTCTGAGACACTAAATGAAATTCCACTTTTAGATACTAATTTCTTTGGGTTCATCACTACTTCCTTTCACCACCATCACCCCTGTTCCTCCACCAACTGGGGTCCCCAAAAGGAGTAATACATTAATCCTGAGACAGCTCTGTGATTGAATTTGGGCTTGGAGGATGTTTCTGCTCATTTCACGGATGATTCGAAGTGAGGCACAGAAGAGTTAACTTTGCTGCAAAGTCACACATTTAGCACCTGGAGCTCAAGTCCTCTTGAATCCAATCCTCAATCCAGGAGGGCAGGAGCATTCTGCAGACTTGGTCGTCATCACCTGAAGATGTGGATGGGGCCTGGTGACTGGGGAGAAAGGGGGTCTCCCTTGGTGGGGAAGCGAAGTTAAACGGAGGTGTGGGGGGCTGGTCCTAAGCAGTGGGGTCTGTAGGAGGTCCTTACACACTCAGTGACTGTTTCTACGCTTGCTCTTGGTGCATGGCCCTGGGTTTCCAAGCTCTCCCGTGCATAGCCACCCCCTCCTCAGTGTTCAGGGTTGACTCGGACAGGACATATATCAGAGGCTCTGAGCATGTCTGCCTGTGTGTGTGCTGGCGAGAGCCCCTGTGGGCCAGACACACCTGGGCAGATGGGACCAGGGTGGCCACAGCAGACCTCACATATCCCTGCCCAGGGCCTGTTGCAAGTTGTGAACACAAAGTGCCTGCCCTCTGGCTGGGCTTTTCCCGGGACCCACCAGAGCACTCAGCATGTCAGCATGGTCCTCTCAGTCCCAAGGAAAGAAATGACAGAAAAGGATAAAAAGCGTCCACATTTGGTCATCTGATCCGGGTGTCCTTGAAGGAGTTCTCATAAAACATGCATCGCCCGGAGGAGGAGGTGATGGATGGCTCTCTGTGCCCCCTCTTCCACGTTGCTGCCGTACACTCTTTAGACCAGTTATTGACGTTGTTTTTAGAAATTGTATGTGAGACAATCTTAGTCATATTTTGCTTGTTTAAAACATGCAGTGCAATGAAAAGATGTACAGGATTTGTGGGCAGTTGAACCTGCCGTAGAACCTCAGTCAGACTGCCTTTCTTCTCTGCAGCCTTGTGAAAACCTCCTTACCACCCTCCAGCTCACTTTCTCAGCTGTACAAAGGGGCTGCCAGTACTCACTTGCAGTGCTGTCCAAGGATGCTGGATATAAAAACCCTTATCCTCTTGCTGCCGTGTATTAGGCTCTCAATAAGTTACAGCCTAGAGATAAAACTGGCTATGATCAAGTAAATAGATTGATATGTATAGGCTTTTGGGGGAAAATGATATAAATGAAAACCCAGTGTAAACCCTTACTGTCCTCTTACTACCTTCTAGCAATTTCTAGCAAAATGCAGAGTCGCCAAGCCTTACTAAGTCAAAATAAACCACAGGTCCATGATTGAAGCATTTCTAACAAAGGTGAGCGTCGATGTTGGCTCCCTTTATGATAGGAAATAGCTGGTTGCATACCTCAGAGTTCAAAAGGCTAAAAAAGACCAGGTTTTGCTTTAGAAAAGTTTCTTCTTTACTTAGTAACACGTTTCCCTTTGATTTTCACAGTAGGCTGTTCTGTGTGGGAATGTTGGAGAGGAAACCTCAGCGCTGAGAAATTCAGGCTGGGAGTCTCGGCAGCCGATTGAGATTTGTATCACAGGAAGCAAACTGAAACAATAGCTTTATGATATTAGCTTCCACGCTGGGCTGAGAACAGAACACATTCTGACGGGAACATCAGTGGAAATGCCACTTGATTGTCTTAAATCCTCTTTCAAGAGGAGCCCCACAAACTGTACGCAAATGAGGGTCACTCCTGCATTTGAAGGGCCTTCAACAGCAGTAAATATGCAAAATTGGCTTTTCACTATGAAATCAATGTTTGGCTCCCCACCCCCCCACACACACACTCGTGAGGGAAAAATCAAATTCATTTTACACAAGAGCTAGAGATCAGTGTGAAGCAAGATTTCTAAGACAAATGTCAGGTTTATGATTAATTCATTGGCATTTGCTTAGTGAAGCCATCACTGTTAATAAGGGATGATGATTTCCTCATCTCTAGACAACCACAGGGAAGGCATTAAAATGTGAGACAAGTGATTTTAGCTTTTTGCCATGACCTTTCCACGCAGGAAAAAGTGAGATGCAAAGGTAAAATTGTGGGGGCAGCTATGGTTTCTGGTGCCTTCTTATGCCCCTCTTTCAGACTTCTTTTCCCAGGCATTCACCCCTACTTTCTTTCTGTTTCACCCTCTTGTCCCACCCACCCTCCAAACCAGGGCCTCTTTCTGTCCTGTTGGAGAAGAGCTGAAAGGTTGATTCGTGCCAGGATCTTGATCGCTGAGAGCCCTAGTGTACAGTCTCTTCTAGAGATACTTTGTTCCAATCATTCCCTTAGCTTAGATTTGATAAGTCTGGTCCATCAGCGGGTATTTGCTGCCCCAGCCCTGTGCCATATTTTAGGAGGGGTCATACAGAGAGGTAAGACAGGACAGTAAGTCATGTACAGGCCAAAGAAATGCATTTCTAATGGTGGACTTTCACAGCCCTTTGGGAGGCCCACAGGTCAGATAAAACACAGTGCCCTCTGCCAAAGATGCGAGGGTAACCTCAGCCTACTTACCTGGTGATGGTGGTGTTTCAATGTGGGGCTGATGGCCAGATAAGCCATTCAAAAATAGTTTCCTCGTGGCTTGACTGGGCTGCTTTTGCAGTCAGCACATCCAGGGCCCAGTGGAGTCATGGGTCTCTGGGCCCAGGAGAGCCCGAGGAAAAGAATCAGTGTAAAAGGGAAGCCCCTTCAATGATAACTATGGGGTGACTACCCGCCAAGCACATATGCCCCGGGAGGATCACATCAGAGTGGTTTGGAGGCCAGTCGGAACAGTCGGAACTTCTTAGAGGAGGAACAGAGGGAAAATGACCCTGGCACCCTCCGCAGCAGCACCTGTGACAGCCTGGCCCCAGGGGCCCGGTCAGGAGCGTCTGCCCCACCACTGCCTGTTCACCCCAGATGCCCAGCTCCTGCTGCCCCCACCACCCCCCGCCCCGGGGCCCAACCCCACCCAGGCGGTGCTGCCTGAAGGAAATGCACGGTGCTCCGGAAAAAGTGCTCCGAAACCTCAGCCCGCGCATATCCTGGCTGTGGGGAGTCATCAAAGCCTGTTTACCGGGGCTATTTTTAGCTTGAAAGAATCTTGTTGTGCTCTTGGGTGCAGTGTATTGAGTCTCTGCAGAGTGCCTCTGATCTGCATGACCCGCTCCTCTTCTTGGGGGTCAGACCCTGAAGGGTCCTGGGAAGCAAGTAACTGAGACCTGGAGCCCAGGGCTATTTAAAGAATCTGCTGAGGGTTTATCAAGCACCTACTGTGTGCTCCTCTTCATTGGACACTGAGGATTTCTTCCGGATTGTTGTGCAACTTTACCGCGGCTTATCTGTCTTTTCCCCACTGGTCTGTAGATTCCTCTGGGGAAAGGATGCTCTTACACCTGACTTTCCTGAGGACAGGGCTGAGCACCCAGTAAGTGACACTTGTTGACAGATGGCCTGGCTTCATGCCCAGCATGGGGCAGACATGTGGCAGGAGTGTGATAGCTGCATTGTGGACGAGTGAATTGTCTGTGTGCCTAGCACTGAGTCAGAGATTAGTGATACCCTCAGGAGACATGATGTTCCCATGAGAGAGGAAAGGGGAAAGGCAGAGCCGTCTTCAGCCAGGTGATGTGCCTGGAGCCCCAGCCCCTGGAGTAAAGCGCTGCCTCCGGCCCCGCAGCCTCTACCCTCAGCTCCAAGCTGACAGCACGCTGGCCAGGTTCCGTCTGAAGTCCCCAGGAGGACAGGCAGGTGCTGCGGGAGCAAATGGTTCCACAGAGGAAAGAGGCCCTGTTGTTTCCAGGTCCCCGTGGGGCTGGCCTGCTGGCTTCCTGGTCCCCCAGCCATTGTGACTTCAGTCCCAAGATGCTCTGTTTCCATTCGTGGGCTCTGTCCGCCCCTCTCCCTCCCTCCCAGAGTCCAGCTGGCCAGCTGTTGTAGCCAATTTCACCACCTCCTGGAAGCAAGTGTACTGGGCACGGATGGAAACCAGTTTGGCTGTGCTGGAACTGTTAAAAACAGGAAACTTTAAGCAGAACTATTTCCTCTGGGCCTGGCTAACCCAAATCAGGTTGTCTTGGGATGACTCCAGATTTTGAAGTCAGGGTTGCCACTGAGATCAAAGAAATTGAAAAGAAGAAAAATCTTTTCACTAGGCCAGGAATCACAGGACTGGCCTCTGCTGTCTGGAGAAGGCGCTCACCTGTCTAGTGTGATTTTTAACAGTGCTGAAAATCTCTTCTTATGTCCCCCAAATAGGTCACCACTTGCCAAAACATGTTGATTTTCCCAGCATTGCTTCTAAGTTACTTCAGTCATTCCCAACTCTGTGCAACCCCATAGACGGCAGCCCACCAGGCTCCGTCCCTCGGATTCTCGAGGCAAGAACACGAGTGGGTTGCCATTTACTTCTCCAATGCATGAAAATGAAACGTGAAAGTGAAGTCACTCAGTGATGTCCAACTCCTAGCGACCCCATGGACTGCAGCCTAGCAGGCTCCTCCATCCATGGGATTTTCCAGGCAAGAGTACTGGAGTGGGGTGCCATTGCCTTCTCCATTTCCCAGCATTAAGGTGGCTTATAGGACTTTAAGTTAAGGCAGTGATGGTCTCCACCTGTGGTCACCAGCATTCACATCATATGAGAATTTGTTAGAAAAGCAGATTCTCAGCCCCCAACCTGCATGAGTGCATGCTCACTCAGTCGTGTCTGACTCTGTGACCCCTTTGACTATAGCCCACCGGACTCCTCTGTCCATGGGATTTCCCAAGCAAGAATACTAGAATAGGTTGCCATTTCCTCCTTCAGGGGATCTTCCCAACTCAGGGACTGAAGCTGTGTCTCCTGCATTGGCAGGTGGATTCTTTACCACTGAGCCGCCTGGGAAGCCCTGCCCCCAACTTGAGACCTACAGAGTCAGGAACACTGCTCACAGGGCCCATCCGGGGCTGGCTCTACGACTCTGTGTGACTCTGCAGTCCCCTGGGGACTTCCACCATTAGAAGGGCCGTGGGCATGGTTTGATGTTTCAGTGAGAGATCCCACATTTTTACTTTGCTCTGGCCTCAGAAATCCTTGTTTTAGCAAGTCCTCCAGTGGTCCTGGTGCTTGCTCCACTTTGAAAGCACTAGGTCAAGTTGTGGTCTCTTCTGAAGCCCCTGTTTAAATTTAGGTGTTAACCAGGAGTGTGAATATTGGCCGCAGCACCCCCCACACCTAGAACTCTGGTTCATTATCATCAGTTCAGCTAACCAGTTGGTTGGCAGGGACCCTAAGCAGGGATCAGGTGTGGGCATGTGTGTGGTAAAAAGGCCATTCCCAGTCTCCCATCCCATAGGCTAGCTGCCTGAATCAGGGTATGAAGAGGAAAGAATTTCCCTCATTTTGTTCTACTATTTTATCAAAACACAGGGAAGTCACTAGGATACACTCTGTATGGCCCAGCTCTTGGCTCTGAAGGGTGGCCTGTCCCTGGACAGCATCAGTGACCCCGGCACATTCACTGATGCTGTGTCCTCAAGATGGCTGGTCCCCAGGGGTGCCACTGAAGCCCCTTGGTAGGAACATCTCCTAATTTGAACTTGTTCTTCTGGAGGAATAACAATGTATGGCCCAGAGCTTACATTTAGGGGCTCAAGGGAAAAGAGAATCAAATAAATCCAGTGCCCTTGCAGGAAGTCCCTTGTCCCTTGAACAGCATCCATATGTCTCTTGCCAAGTGGCCCATAAATTCAATTGCATTTTACATTCCCTCCAATAGACTCAGTTTGAATGACTTGTTTTTTAGTTAAGTGAATATTAACTTTCATAAGTGACAAATTATTCTATGATCCTCTCATTCTGTAAATTAGGGTAAGGTAAATTGATGTTTTTAGTGGATGAATACAAGTTTTTATAAGTAAATGTATGTTTGGAGTTAAACAATGAGCTAGGAGAAGCAGGGCTGAACTAAAGTCTGTGGTCTGAGCAATAACAACCAAGGGTCTGGGGCCTGAGAGCTTTATTCGCTGGGGCCAGAGCTGAGGCTACATTTTGCAGACAGCAGAGGTCTACTTGATAGGCCAGGGCCCCCCAGAGTGGTTGGGGAGTGGATGCCTTTCTCGGTTGCCCCTAGCAGCCACCTCCACAGCCTGCCACTAACACAGCAGCCTCCTCCTGTGGCTTCACACCTCTGATCCTCACTCTCTCCAAATCATCTTGCGTGCCATTGCTGGATGAATCTCCCCAAAGCAATGGTCTGAGATGCCGCTCCTCCAGGCCATTGGACTCACGAGTCTAGTCAATGAGCCTGGGGCACAGACCCTCCTTCTTCCGCCGGGTGGGCCTGTTCTCATCCGTGGACAGCTCCTTCCAGGCTCTGCCTCCTCCATGATTTCCAGTGTCTGCCCAAGCCAGTAGGCCCAGAAAGCCCTACTTTCATTTAACAGAGTGAGATCCCTGCTTTTCATGAGTCTCTTCAAATGCCTTTCTTTGAACAGTTGTCTGTGACCACCTCAAAGTGACCCCCTCTTCCTGGGAACCCTTCCGCACTGTCTGTATTCCTCTTGGGCACCCACCTCTGTCACACTGAATTTTTTACTTAGATGTGTGGCTTGGGTGTACCACCCAGCCCCCATTCAGTTTCTGAGCAATTTGAAGACAGTGACAGTGTTGTAGAAGGAGCCAGAGAGGGAGAGAATTTATGCTAGTTGGTATGTTTTAGGCATTCTCCATACTTACCTAATCCTTACAAGAGATGGGAATTATTATATCCATTTAGCTGACGAGGAAACTGATATTCAAAGAGGTTTTCACTTTTTGTTATGTCAGTTAGAGCCATAACCTAATAGGAGGAATAGAGTCAGTGGTTATTTGACTCCAAAGCCGATGAATGGTTAGGAGTGTGGCTTCTGGATTCAGCTGCCTGAGTCCACAACCTTTATAGCCTTGGGCAAATGACTTAATCTCTCTGGGCCTCATCTGTAAGATAAGACAAAAAAAGTAGGGCCTACCCCACAGGTGTTTTGAAGATTACATAGCATTCTCAGTGATAGGTTGATATGTTATCATTGCTCAACATCCATTAGGGAAAATGACAGTCCTGACTACTCCTGTAACTGCCTTGACATCGGTGACCCCACCGCTGCCAGTACCACAAGTACAGTGCCACAACTGTTCTGCTCGTGAAGCCCCCAGCAGGGTATCCTCCATGCAGTGGTGCTCATCAGATGCCTGCTCCTTGGGCATGTGGCGGACACTTAGGTGGTTGGCGGTGTGCGTTTCCAGAAAAATCCATCTGATGCCTTTGAGCCATCCCTGGAAGACACTCATACACACCAGTCACATCTGCTTTAACCCCACATTGATGCAGGCTGTTCAATCCCACCCCCTGTCTTTCCAGTTTGCTCTGAAAATGAATCTGAAGCCGATGCTGACCAGCAGATGGACAACTTGTACCTGAAAGCCTTGGAGGGTTTCATTGCTGTGGTGACCCAAGATGGTGACATGATCTTTCTGTCGGAGAACATCAGCAAGTTTATGGGACTCACACAGGTGACACCCTGCTCGGGCTCCTTCAGAAAGGGAAAATGTTTCCATTTGGGGGTAGAAATTAGTGGAAGATTCTGATCACCTCCCTCCTGACCTTTTCCTTCATGCACGCACCCTCCTCCTCTCTGATCTCAAGCCTCAAACCTTAGAAATAACTTAGAGCCCCTGGCATTGGGCTAGCATTGCCAGTGGCCATCCTGGCAGACAGCTCTGCCAACTGGATTGCAGACCCAACCTTGTCAGTCATGCCTGTCATGACCTCTATTACACCTGTGTGTCTGTGGATCTGCCGAGTGGAATATGAGAAGATCTGACTCAGCCTCCTCCCTCTCTCCAAACCTGAAAGGGGGCCCAGCTTCCTCTTGGAGACTTCTTCACTGTCAGGAATAATGAACCCAACCTTGTTTTTTGAAACAGGTAGAGTTAACAGGACACAGCATCTTTGACTTCACTCATCCCTGTGACCATGAGGAGATCCGTGAGAACTTGAGTCTCAAAAATGGTAAGGTATTCTTGGGTGTGTTTCTTTCCTTCTTAATACCACATGGGGAAGGAACCTGTCTCCCCTTTGTGTACTAACATAGGATGGATAGATCATGGCCATCATGATTCAGAAAAAACAGACACCCATAGAAAATCCAACAGGACTTTGGAGATGAGATCAAGAGCCCTGGAAGGACTAGTACTCAGTATTATCTTTTGCTGGCTCTTGTGGTGCCTGAGATCAGACTCCTAGGGCACTCCTGTGGGTTAGGACACCATCTCCAGGAGGTTTCATCACTCATGCTGAGTGTCCAGCATCTTTTCCAAATGACACCATCCAAACCAATCAGCTTGTCTGTGCCAAAATGTTCATGGGAACTGTTGCAGCTGTCCATGTGATGGTTGTGTAACAGACTGCCCAAACATAGTGGGTTAAACAGTCCTTTTATTGTCTCTCATGATTCAGTGGGTTCTATGGGTGGTTCTTATGCTCCATGTGATATCAGGGGGCTCAACCCAATGGGATAAGCATAGGGCTCACCCACACCTCTGGGACCTTGTGGCGGTAGCTAGAGGCTGGAGCTCTCTGTCACTCCATAAGGTATCGGAGCCTCTTCCTCTCCACATGGTCTCTCCAGGGTAGCCAAACTTCTTATACTTATATTCTTTGCTCCCTTTTGGGGAACTGGCTCCCCAAAAGTGCAAAAGTAGAAGCTGCCAGAAGCCCTCTGAAGGCTTAGTCCTGAAACTGGTACAGCACCACACTTTGGTTAAAGTGAGTTACAGACCTGGCCCATTCCCTGTGGGAGGGGGCTATACAAGGCCCTAAATACTGTGAAACGTGGCTCACTGGGGCCACCTTTAGAGACTAGCTACCACCGGGGCCAAGGAAGGAGTCTGGTCCCCCGGTGATAAAAAAAAAAAAAATGGAACAGGTGGTTTTGATGGAGAAAGTTTAAAAGGTCTTGTGCACCACACTCTACCTGTGGGGGCTCCAGCAGGTGTCAGGGGATGGAAGGGCCCATACAAACAGAAAGCATTTTTCAGGGACAGTCAGAGCTGGCTGCTTCACCTCTTGTAACTGGGGACAGCCGCGCAAAAGCTCTAATGGACATATTGTCAAGTGGACGGAAGCTTTAAGAAGAAGGGAACTCAATGGCTTTCAAGGTCCCTTCTGAACCTGAGAGTCAGTCTCTGCCCTGGACAGACTGTACCGAGTCTAACATCCCTTTTTAAAGCTCTCACCTGTCACTGTCATGGAGCGTGTACTTATCCAGCCTGAATGACAGAGGCAAGGCAGTAGTATCAAGCCTACAAGGTTTTGCTCTTATTATCACACATGCTGAAAAAGCACACATCTCATCCACCTACTTCTACCCATGTTACCAACTGAGCCTGCAGAGTGCAGGATCCCCACCACCTCCCCAACCACCACAACCCCCTCCTCCCCCAGCCCCTCTGCTCTCCCTCCTGAAGGCCACCTGGCTCTGGTCAGGCACAGGCTGGGGAGCTCTCAGGGTTGTTCACTGTCTTCTCTGTGTTGAGAAAGTCTTGTTTAGTTCTGTGAGAAAAAGGCTACCAGACCTTCTGAATCCCTTTCTAAAACAAGCACTGGAAGCCTGAGAAAACCCCAACGTCTCTTATTTCTTCTCTACTCTGGAAACCCTTGGGTTCTCGGTCTCAGTTCAACCTCTGACCCTAGTCTTAGTCTGATCATACAACTTGAACCAAGCCCCTTCATTGCTCTGTTCCTGGGAATCTTTCTCTTCAAAGTGACAGTGTTGGACGAGGCAAAGTCTAGGACCTTTCGTTCTCCAGTGTTGTGACTCAGCATGACTCTGCTCTGTTGATCTGAGTTGAACGATAGGTCTCTCGGTCCCTGTGTTGAGGACTTGAGATCAAAATCAGTGAATCATCAAAGGCTTTGAAGGTGCCGACCTGCGTGGACTTGTGATCTATAAGTAAAGGGTTAGTGTGATCACCCAGAGGCAGATAAGGCTGTGAGGCTGCTTGTGGAAAGCTTTGAAGGCCGGCAACTGAGCTTGAACTTCATCCTGTAGACAGAGGGGGCTGTTGGAAGATTTTGAGCAGAGATGGGGTAATCTGATTGGAGCTGTGTTCAGAGAGATTAACCAAATGACAGGATGGGGAAAATCCCGACATTAACAGGTTAAGAGGCTACAACCATAACCCATGCAACAGCCACAAATGAGTCCCTCCTGCCCACTGCTCCACAGCACCTGAGCTGGTCCTGGTAGTGTGTCCAGACCCCAAGATACAAGAACATCTCACGATGTGCAAACGCCACCTATGGAAGCCAGAATTGTGAAAAACATCATTGAGTATGGGAGAGGTGATTTTGTGATTGTGATGGGGAGGAATACCCTCTCATAAGAAAAAGAAAAAGATTCACCATCTGGTCTGTTACTCAGTGGCCTCTCTTTTGATGTTTATGACAGATTAAAAAGTGCCACAATCCATTTGACACAGTGATTTGGGGCTCTGTCACTCAAGTCACTGACCCCTGGGGGTTTCAGTCCTGAGGCTATGCCAGAGGAAGGGTGTGACTATTAGAAACAAGGCTCTGGATTGTTCTGAGATGCTGGGTAGTGGGGCGGGAGTGTACCTTGGAAGGTCCAGAATGGCAGAATTTAGACATGGACAGGGGGACACCTCTAGGGTTTACTGCATTCATCACTTTTCTTTTTTTCAGTGGGAGAAGTCCTGAGTGGGCAGGTTATTTGGAGACCATAAGGAAGGAAGCAATCTTGTTTGTCTTGGTGATTTTTTAAATTCTGACCAAGAAGGGATATGATCCCTACTGAGTTAATCCTCAAGGTGAACTTGCTCACCACAGGAGATTTGGACCAGCGGTGTTCCATGAGCCTTGATATGTGTCACTTTGGGAAGGGAGCACATGGTGTGGGATCCTGAACACAGCCACTGTGGGTTAACAGTAGGGCATGGGAGGGACAGGAACGGGGAAAAGACAGGGGCATCTAAGGGAAATCTCCCACCTGAGAGGCTTATCCCTTTGGAGCGATTGTGATCTTGCTTGGATGATCCTTTTGGAATTCCTTCTATGGGGCCCACCCAGGGGAGAGGTTTGCTAAGATCATGGCCGATGGTCACTCATCGCCTGACCACTCTGCAGTGTGAGGTGCGGTGGGAAATAAAACAGTGGAATAGCCCCAGCCCTTCAGGAGCTCACCCTGCAGGGGAGACAGGCTGGAGGTGAGGGAGCCTTGATCCACAGCCAAGACAGCACAGAGCGCTCTGGGCTCACAGCAGCTCCTCAGGATCACACACAGACACAGACACACACACACCCCTGAAAAACTGCCCTGCTTCTGACTACAAACAGAGCTAACTTCAGCTGGCTCTACTTACCTTCTCCATCCAGGCTCTGGTTTTGGGAAGAAAAGCAAAGACATGTCCACAGAGCGGGACTTCTTCATGAGGATGAAGTGCACAGTCACCAACAGAGGCCGCACGGTCAACCTCAAGTCAGCCACCTGGAAGGTAGGACGTCAGGCCTGGGTTTGGAGTCCTGGGGTGACCCCCACCCCCACCCCCTGCCTCCACCCCGCCCCCGACCCCATGTCTGACCCTCCGCGGCTGGTCTCCAGGTCTTGCACTGCACGGGCCAGGTGAAGGTCTACAACAACTGCCCCCCTCACAGCAGTCTCTGCGGCTGCAAGGAGCCGCTGCTGTCCTGCCTCATCATCATGTGTGAGCCGATCCAGCACCCATCCCACATGGACATCCCATTGGACAGCAAGACCTTCCTGAGCCGCCACAGTATGGACATGAAGTTCACCTACTGCGACGACAGGTGGGGCCCGGCGGGGAGCGTGTGTGCGCATGCGCCTGTGGTTGTGCCTGTGGTCAGAGGGCGGGTCCGCGGCAGACATGTTGTATTGTTGGGGGCAAGTCACAGTTTCATCCCGCCAGTGCTGGCAAGGGTCATACTGGACTGCCTTCTGTTGTCACCCCAGAGCTGTTCTAGAGTGCAGCTGTTGTCATGGTGGATGGAGGTGGTGTGTACATCTTCCTCCACACGCGCACGCGCGCGTGTGTGTGTGTGTGTGTGTGTGTGTGTGTGTGTGAGAGAGAGAGAGAGAGAATGAGAGAGAGACTCCTAGATCTCCAAGCCTCTCTCCACTCTGCTTCCTGGGAAAAGAAGGTCTAGAGGTCTCTCCATTGGCACAGCCAGTGAGGGGGCCAGCTGGGAGCCTGGAAGCTGCCCTGCAGTCACGTGACTCCTGTGTGTTCTCTTCTATTAGTGAGCTCTTTTCCTCAGCCTCTGCTCCTCCTATGTCCTCCGTTCCAGCCAGTGTCCAGCCCCAGTTGGAAGGGTTTTTGATGAAGGGAACTAAGTCAGACTCCAATCCCTGAAGCCAGGCTCAACTGGAAAATTCTCTTACGGGAGAGTATAGTGGTTAAGAGCCTTAATGCAGTGAGATGGCTTGAGTTCCAATCCGATAGGAAGTGTTCAGTGTTAGCTATGGTTCCCACCCTAAATTACTTCTTTATTAAAGTAGTTGAAAGAGTACCCAAGGCCATACATGTAATCCATGTCACTCTAGTTTTAGCTCAAGGTGAGGATCGAAACAGGTAGGGAAAAGGTTAGAGTTGTCATGGAGGGGTGGGAAGAACAGCTCTGACTCCTCCCCACTGCCTGGCCTCTGCCCTCCCCTCTGTGCCCGGACATTGGAGATGTGGGCGGATCAGGAGGTAGAAGCAGCAAGGATGCCATGGGCAATGGCTGCCATCAGGGAGGCAGGGACAGGCCAGGGGCTGAGCTGGGCCAGGCAGGCCGGGCTCAAGGAGATGCCACAGCCACCCACCATCTAGTGCATGATGGAATGGGCCCGTGGGGATCTCCCCACCCGACTCTGGCTTTCAGCAGTGTCCAGGGTCACCACGTTTGTCCAGAGTCATAGTTCTGGGAGCAGCTCTTTGCTGCTGCAGGCACTCCACTCTCACCTTCTAGCTTTCTCCAGAAACCCTGAGATTGTGGCTTCCCCTTCTCTAAAGTGCATACTTACCGCCCCCCCGCCCCCATTTCACAGGATCACTGTAAGATGAGTGATGGCCATGGAAGCACTTTGAAAAGCACAAACCCCCTCACTGATGGGAGGCTTTTTGTTCCTGCTGGCATCTTGCTCGCTGTCCTTGTCCTCCCCTGAAGCTTGTCTCCCTGCTAAACTCTAAGGGGCCGAAACCACTGCTGGAGATGTGTAGAGGCTGGGGGCCTGGAAGAAGGAGAGCCTACCGGCAGGAAACTGCCTCACCTTCCCAGCCAGCAGGAAGCCACAGACCCCAGGAGGGAGCTCCTGCTCAGCAGCCCCCAGGCCCACCCACCTTCCTCTCCTCTGCTGGATGTCCCAGGGTGCAGGTTTCTCCGTGGATGGGGCTCTACTTTCCAGGCTCTGCCGAGTCTGTCTCCCCTGATTCTGGACTGACCTGGTGTTTGCTGCTGCCACTCCTTAGAACTGGGCTCCAGGACAGATTTAAGAACTCTGGTGAAAGTGCCCTAGAGTCATTCCTGTCCCCTAGTTCTGACCACCATAGTGCTGCATTCAAGACTGTTGCAGGTAGTGGGTGGTTTGAGATGTAGAAAGAAGCGCTCTAACCTCATAGGGAGAAAATATCCAATATGAAGACTGTGTCCTGGAACTTTGGCACAGCCAGCAGTTATTATGGTTATTCATGTTGTCATTATTGTGATATGAGGATAATTAGAGAGAAAGACTATTGCAAAGGCAGGCACCCGAGAAATCCATGCTGTGTAAGGTTATTTATCAGATGCATTCTTTGTATTCAAAGGACTATTCTGGGCAAAAGATACAGTTTTGTAATGTGCACAGCCCTAATGTGACCCCAGAAGCACTGGGAAAACCCTACTGTCCTAGAAAATAACTTCTCATCCCTAGATAACAGGAAAGAAGAAATTTTTGTGTTAAGACTTTGATCCTTGTTAAAGTGAAGGGAAAATTCCTCTGGAAAGAGTAATTTGAAGTTATTCCTCACTCTTTACCATGTTTTGAATGAATTTCAGGTCATTTCCTGAAAGCTTCTAATCTTTGGATGAAAGGAAGAAGGGGCAATAACATGAGGAATTGGGCACCTAAGAATGTGGAAGACCCTCCTCCCAGAAAGGAGAGGGACCCTGCGCTGACTTCTTAGTTTGCTTCAGGTCTGGTAGGCAGAGTTGATCCTGACTTGAAGGAACCTGTGATTTAAGGGCTTTGTGACTCAGAGTGTGGAGGGTGATATTACTTGTAAGGTTTGCTGGATATAGTGCACTTTCAGCAAAATCTTGTCTTTCAAAAACCTAATTACATGGGCCAAACTCTGAATTCAATGGTGCTGGAGAGATGGATGCAGAGGCATTTAAAGACACAGAAGGCTGTGCCACACATAAATTGTGTTTAACGGATTAGGAGATTAGTTCACAAGGGCACAGACATGGCTTAGATGTTTATAAAGTGACTATTTTAAGTCCTTAACACCTATGTGTTACTTCTCAATTGCTTTGATGAGGACTAGGATTTTTTGGTTTTGGTAGCTTATCTTGTTTTTACTTTTTGTATTGGGATGGGGAAAGGTATGCACACATTCATGCTTGCTCTCTCACAGGTATGCACGCACGCGCACGCACACACACACACACAACTCTTCCAAGATCAGTGCTTCAAAAACCAACACTTACATATCATAGTAGGGTGACCATTTCATTTTAATCAAGGAATTCACTAGATTTAATGACATCTGGCACACATGAGAGGCTGTGATTTCCCACAAAGGGATTCTTTTTCCAGTGGGAAAGTTAGAAAGAATCGGGTGAAAATGTAAGGCAATTAGAATACACAAAATCACTTTTAAGGTTGTTTGGTACTTTTTATTAGTTGTATTGAGACCACAGGCATAATCAAACAAACAGACAAAGGATCATGGAGAAAAAGAGAAGGGAGAAGAAAGGAAGCAGGGAGGTGAGAAGTAAAATAGAAAAAAAGAGTAATCTTGTACTTAACTCTCAGGTTTCCAAAATCAGTTGAACCAGAGGCAACTTGTCCTGAAAGATCTGAATTTGAATAAAGGAATGCAAATGGTTCAAAATGCATTCATCCTGCACCTCTTAATAAAGAGTCAAGACCATACCAAGCCCTGTATTATCTGAAACAGCAAATATTGTTAGAAGAGAATTCCATGACAGTTTATGTCAGTCACATTTATTTGTATATACAATCAACTGCTCTCAATGGAGGCAGTAAAACTGAGCAGCAGGTTTAAAGAAGAATATCCTGATTATCAGTGTAATGGATGAACTTGTCTCCATTCACAATTCAAATTCCTAAAATGAGCAGCCAATTAATGAAGTGTTATTTATTGAACGTCTACTATGTATCTAACTCGGTGCCAGAGACTGATTATATCAAAGAAGGAAAGAGATAATTCTTGATCTCCAAGAGTCTGGAGTTGGAGACATGAGTTCATTAAGAACCATTCACTCAAAAGGAAGGCAAAAGTTGTTCCCAAGTAGTTTAACTTCAAGATGGGGTCGTTCTTAAATTCACGTGGAGGCGCCATCTAGTGGAAAAAGAAAATAACTCTGAAAGAAGCCAAGTCATCAGGGAGAGCAGGGCAAATCTGTAATACACAAAATCCCTCTGTGATTTTGTGTGTTTTATGAGTCTTTTTGTATCTTAGAAATAAATTATAAAAGCAAATTATGTGGATAAGAGAAGTATCAGTATGGATAAAGTTGTCATAACAGTAAAAATTTCAGATTAACAAAGAGGGTCATGTAATTTTTATTTTTATTTTTTAAATTAATTTGTGTTTTTATTGAAGGATAATTGCTTTACAGAATTTTGTTGTTTTCTGTCAAACCTCAACATGAATCAGCCATAGGTATACATATATCCACTCTCTTTTGAACCTCCCTCCCATCTCCCTCCCATCCCACCCCTCTAGGTTGATACAGAGCCCCTGTTTGAGTTTCCTGAGCCATGCAGCAAATTCCCGTTGGCTATCTATTTTACATATGGTAGTGTAAGTTTCCATGTTACTCTTTCCATACATCTCACCCTCTCTCCTCTCCCCATGTCCATAAGTCTATTCTCTATATCTGTTTCTCCACTGCTGCCCTGTAAATAAATTCTTCAGTACCATCCAGTCAGCTTTGATTTCAGTTAGCATATATTTCAGCTCTAAAATTCTACTTCATTCTTTTTCTTCCATTTATTTTTATTAGTTGGAGACTAATTACTTTACAATATTGTAGGGGTTTTTGCCATACATTGATTGACATGAATCAGCCATGGATTTACATGTGTTCCCCATCCCGATTCCCCCTCCCGCCTCCCTCTCCATCCCATCCCTAAAGAATCTGAGGGCAACCCCTTTTTGTCACTGAATTAGGGCAACATAGGATGTAATAATATCAGAAGTTACAGTTTAGTGAATTAAGATGCCTACATTTCAAATTCTGTGGGTCAGATTTATAATTAACTCTTTTTCTACAAAGAAGTTGGGAATGGTACTGGTGATAAAAGTGAGGGATAGTTGAGAATCTTGAAGAGACTGTCAGTAAAATTATAGCAAGCCATGAGATATAAAACACACACACATCAAAACACCTGAAAAGTGATAGTATTAATGCCCAAGAAGAAAATAGACTGACTTTGGGCAAATTAATAGTAAAAGATTATATACTTTCATTGCATGCTGAGATACATTTAACAAATTATTTTACTTTTTTTTTTAGAGGATAGGTAGCATCTTTAAATGCAAAGTGATCTTTGCATTAGCCTAATATGTTACATATCATTTTTAGTTTCATAGTCTGTTCTATATATTTTTGCAAACATAGTAGTCTTTCTCTACCGATTGTATGTAGCAGGGTATATATAATGTGTTTTTTAAGCCCCTGAGTTTAGAAGACACTTGAAATGTTCTCCTTGTGCATCTGGGTCTCTTCCAAACAATATTCTTAAATCAGTCCTAAGAAAGACTGAGCATATTTATGAGAAATGCTTGTTTATCATCCTGTCTAATCTGTTCAAAATATTCCTTGGAAGAAGCAGCTCTTTGGAATTTATTTCAAAGTGTGATAGACCTCACAATTCAAAAATTATTCATCTGCATGATTTGCCTCTCTCTTGCTACAATTCAAGGCAACTTTCCCCTTCCTGCTTGTGGGTTTCAAGGTAATGAAAGGCAGTTGCGGCATTTGGTGGCACTCAGAGTCGGTCCAGGATTGAACCAGGGCTACCCTCCTATGTACACTATGTATATATTCACCCCACCTGTAACACATAACACTGACAGGATGCAAATTAATTATCTGTTAACTACAGAGCCAGTTGGATATTCACTTAACTATGTACTATTGTAGGAAAACACAAGGCAAAAGTGTTGTTTAAAGCAAAGAAAATCTGGATTGAAATACATGAAATCAAATGACATTGAAATCTGTGGTAGTGAATAGTCTGGAAATTAGTTTGCGTTAAGGAAATGCAGTTTCAAAGCTAAAAAAAAAAAAAAAGCACATACAGGAACCAAAATGAGGTGAACCCAGTATTACTTCGGAGAGGCCAAGCCAGAGGAGGGAAGGAAAGAAAGCAGACCTGAACAGAAGGATGGTTTTATTAGCAAAGGCATTCTTTCAAAAACAAATAGGTGGTTATAAAGTACTTAAAACTTCCATCCTCTCAAATAGTTTAAATACTCTCCTAACCATCTTGTTTACATGATTAATTTACTGAGCAAATTCTGTGCCCGTGTAGGGAATGAGTAAAACCTGCAGCCAGACCTTGTTTGACTCCAGGCGTGGCGTGTGAAGCAGGGAGCTCGCTACCCCATTGCTTGTGGGCGGCCGAGCCGGCTCAGGCCCGCGCTGTTTCTTCTGCCTTCAAAGTCACACGGCCCTGACCCTGCTGCCACGGGAGAGTCCATGTCTTCCCAGCGCTCAGCCACGGGTAGTCCATGGGGAAAGAGCCTCACAGCATGAAGGGTAGAGAGCAATGAATGACCAGTAACTGTCGTTTTATGCTGTGAGGCAAACCCAGCTCTGAAAGTCAGAGAGCCCAGCCTTCTGACCCACATATTAACTTGGGGCGACACTAACTTCAGATTTTAACTACCATTCTTTCCCTCTCCATTTTCTAGTTTCTTTTTTTCTCTCTTCCTCCTGCCTCTGCCTCCTGTGGCTGCCTGTCAGTGTCTATGTCTCTCTCCTGGCCTCATCCTCGGTCCGGTTCTCTTCCTACTTAATTATTAAAAAGGAACCTCTATGCTTTTTCACTTCTGAAGTCTGGTGAATTAAGCCCCTTTACATGTCCCTCTTCTCTACAAACAGAACAGCCATACTGAATTGACTTTTGAAATTTATGGGTGACCCTAAAATGACTTTTTTCCCCCCTCCAGAGAGTCAGGGAGCCTTAATTAGAAAGAAAAAGAAAAAAAAGTTCCCCTGCGTCTGATGAAGAGAGCAGATGAAACTATGTTATCACAGCCCAGCTCTGGAGACTTCCCTGGGACAGAGGGAAATGAGCAGGGAGGATCCTTGTGTGCCTGCGGAGGCTGACCCTGTAAACAAGCCGGGTTCGTTAGCCTCCCTGCTGGCGTCGGCGTGCCTGCCCAAGGAGGGCAACGACCATTAGCTTTGAGTTGGGGTTTCCTGGTTTTGTGAAGTTCAACCACTCGAATGTTCTTCAATTGTGTTTGGGGTATGTGTATTTCCCAGTTTTTATAGTCGTCTGTTTAAAGGCATGAAGAAAGAGACGTTAAATATTTATTTTAGTTGACAAGATAAATGAAGGCTGCTACTGGGAAGAGAGCTGGCAATCCTGAAGTTGAGCCCTTGTTTGTCCACTTCCAAAACATGCCCATTGTGTCCCCTGAATGGATAGTATACTAATTAGATCAGAAAATATTTTATTTGAGGTTGATTATAATAAACATTTACTTTGAGCATTTTAAAGATTCTAATCTTGAAAGAAAATATAGTCTCTTCATGGATTAGAATCAGACTTTCCCAGGACAGCCTCATTTTTGAGGGTCTCTAGGAAATCTACAACTAGTGCAGGCTCGGAAGTAGTTTTTGTGGCAAACTGGTGAGCCTACCATTGTCAGCCAGCCCATTGTCAGCACAGCCTATGGTGCAATTCTGACTCCCAAGCTAAGCCTGAAAGACATGGAACCCATTAGAAAAGCGACTTGGGTGTAGGAAAGGAAGCGCCAGCTCTGTTCAACCATCTCCTCCTCCTCCTCCCTCAATCTCCACTCCGGCTAAGGTGCCATTGGCAGTCCCAGAGTTGGGCCGCTGAGGAACATGACTTCAAAGACCTCTCTGCTCAGGGCCAAGTGAGGGGACAGGTCCTCCCCATCTGAAACCAGTTGGCTGATGCAAGTGAACTGCTGAAATCTCACGGGAGAAATCTCTGCTGGTCTAAATCAGCTGAGACCTAAGCATCTCAGCCCTGCTGTGTTGCCCATTGTTTGACAAAGCCTTTCGCCCCCAAGTCTCACTTAGGCAGAAAATTTGCCTCTTCTCTGCCCACTTCAACAGCAGACACACCTTGGGGAATGGAGGAAGGATGGACTGTATACCACGAGGGCTGCGCTGAAGGCTGTGTGTGTGCACTGTCATGCACTAAGATAGGTGGTTGTGTTCTAGGAAGAAAAGCGGGTTGTTAGTGCCTGGGATCCTTAGCAGTGCTGGGTTAGACAGGGCTCTGATTGTACCTTAGGCGCCCAAAGAAAATCATTCTGTTGGTCAGCTACTATGGCATTTACTGAGCACTCGTCACGGAGGCCAAAGGAGAATGTGGTCCCTGAATTCAGGGTTGGCAGCCTAGGATGTGGACAGAAGAATACATAATTTCTTGTGACACTGTGTTTGCTGATTAGGCTCAAGAAGGGGGACTTGGAGAAAGCTCGGTGAACAAGATGCAGTTTTGAACTGGCCCTGTCATCATCAAGGCTCAGAGAAAGAAGGCCCCGAGGCTCTGCAGCAAGCCTAGCTTTGCCAGCAATGGAAACTGGGAGGAAAGGGATATACCAGAGCAGGAGACTTGGCATGCTGCTGATCAGCTGCAAATTAAACTGCTTGGAAGATGGAGATAAGACTCTGGGGGAACTTGGAAGTTAGGCAGAGTTTATTTCCTCTGGATGTGGCTGGTGATAGGTGAGCTAAAGATGCTTGTAGAGGGGAGGGACAGAACAGAAATAATATTCTAGCATGATTTAGTCTGACCTATACAAAACCCCAATGGAGTGGGAGAGGGGAGTAGAGATGGGAGACCTAGGAGTCACAGCTTCTGCTTTCCTCTCCATGTCGTGCATCTCCAGCATGGTGACCGGGCCAGGCCCCAGAAGCCATGTGTTCCAAAACAGAGCTTGTAATGATGAGGAGATAGCATCACTTCTAGCTCGTGATAGGCTAAATAAACAAGACAGCAAGCCCATTAGAAAAAATGTAAGAGAACAAAGATTATGAGAAATATGTTTAGGTATGACGTGGGAAAGTGGCTTATCTGTGGTTCTTGGGTAGGGCTTTGTTTATTTTAATGATTCCTGTGCAGAGCAGAGGGTTCTTGGAAAGGTACCTGATTCTTCATGCTTCTCCACATCTGCCTTTTCTCTGCCCACTTCCCATCAAAAGCAGACACTGTACAGGGACCAGCGAAGCCCTGTCCTTTCAGAGCTGCCTATTTATCAGAGTGTTAACGAAGGGGCACATTTCTAGAGCTATGATTTCGTATTTGTTCCTCTCAGCACCTTATGCCCTCCCTCCTTTCCTTGAGGTAGGGAGGGACAATTGGAGAACCCACAGTGGCACACCTGATGTCTAAGAGGTATCAGGTCACCAGGCAGGACCTGAGGGGTGAAGACTTGAGCACAGACCAGCTTCTGCTGCCCGGGTTCCTCTTGCCCTATGGTTAACACACAAGCAAAGGCCACCTCTGGGCTTTTCTAACTCAGGATCGCATAATTTTCACTTTTCATTTATAATGACTTCTACTAGAATAAGCTTGAATAATCAGGAGATTCCCATTTTTATTCTTGCTTTGTCCCCAGACACTTGTGTAAACATCAAGTAAATTGTCTGCCATCTCTGCATCTCTGCTCACTTGTCTATAAAAACTGGGAGTTAGGGGGCTGATGAGAGCCCCTTCCAGTGGTCACTGGAGAATATGCATGTGTGTCTGTCTGGGGGTGAGAGTTTGGGAACCCTTAGATAGGTGCTTTTCCTTCCTCTCCAAACACAATTCAGGAAAGGCAGGAAGAGTGAGGTTCAGTAGACCCATAGTTGCAAGTTGATCACCATATTTTTGTTTGTTTGGATGAATGATATGACCAGGAAGTTTGAAGTGTGTTTCATTGAATGTGTGCATTTGACTTACATTCTGGATATAGGTCCTTGCACCCCGTTCATATTCATATGATCTCCCCACCTTGCTTTTTTTTTTTTAACTTAGAATCACAGAACTGGTTGGCTACCACCCTGAAGAGCTACTTGGCCGCTCAGCCTATGAGTTTTACCATGCACTGGACTCAGAGAACATGACCAAAAGCCACCAGAACTGTAAGTTCCAGGAGTACCCCCATACATCTGTGGAATCTGGCCTTGAGTGAAATGTGACTGGTGAGAAGGAAGAAAATCCAATCAATTTCGTCACAGGGCCCACCGTCTTCTGTGACAGACAAGACTCATGTCCTCAGGAAAGTTAGAAAACCAAAATTGCCACCAGCCTATATGGCATGTTGATGCAAATAGGATAAGGGGACACACCAACACACCAAGGCATATAGCCTAGAGAATGGAGGTTGGGCTGAATCTCATTCCCCCTTACCACCTCCACTGGGCACATTTCTGCAGTTAATAGACTGCAAAAACTTATGGAACAGCCCCATAGAGCGTGATCAACTTGGGTAATATGCTTTAGATGCAGGTACATCCATTCAGAGAAGAGGAGGGCTGAGACAGTTCAGGAAAAGAAAGGACAGAGCACTTTAGTTGAACTTGAAGGATGAGGGAACATTGGGGTAAACAGAGGTGCAGGTTGTACAGTACCAACTTACGAGATTAGTTGAGATAGGCCATGGTTTTCCAAGAGCTTGCTTGCTGAATCAAGAGAACTCAGTTGGATGAGAATGTCCAGGCAACCCAATAATGGCATATGGAAATTGTGCCTTGCAGCTTACAAAAAAACCTGAATTATGAAAGGATTCTAGAGCAGGGTTGTTCAAAAGAACTTTTTGCAGTGGAAATGTTCTTCCTCTGCAGAGTCCATGGGTGACCTTTGCAGTATTTGAAATATGTGTAATGAACTAAATTTTTAAATTTTAGTTTTAATTAACTTTAAGTAGCCATACTTGGCTAATGGCTACCATATTAGACAGAGCAGTTCTATTGCATTTCAGTTGACCTTAATCCCAATTAAGTCTTCTCATTTGCAAATGATCCAAGACAATTTTCTTGAATCCATACAGCCCATCAGCATGCAAGGACTATTGGTCCCTAACCCTTTACTTGGCCTGTGCTGTGCTTAATCGCTCAGTCGTGTCCAACTCTTTGTGACTCTATGGACTGTAGCCCACCAGGCTCCTCTGTCCATGGGGATTCTCCAGGCAAGAATACTGGAGTGGGTTGCCATACCCTCCTCACTTGGCCTACTGGGGGAAATAGAAATGTATAGGATTGATCCCTACCCTAAAGGATCTCATTTCTGAGGGAGAAGGAGGGCTTCGTGTTCCCTGGGAGCCAGTTGGCCGGTACCTTCAGCCTCAGTATCTAGCACAGTGTTTGGTACTGTATAGGCACTAAGTAAACAATAAACTCAAGGGCAAAAACTATATTTTGGAAAGAATGCTTCAAAAATGTGCCCCCAGTGCAGATGGAGGTGCTGAGAGGATTATAGAAGGACTTAAAATGGGTTAGTCTGAGAAGATTCCCAATGGTCCTGCTGGTCTTGGGCTCCAAGGATTAGAGTGGCTTGGAGTGGCAATGAAGAAAATGGAAATGCAGCTATTTCCCCATTGCTCCTAAATCCATCCATCTATCCCGAGGTTAGGACAGCTGAGGTTCAGAGCAGCTAACAGGTCAGCAGCCCATAAACTGTACAGAAGCACAGTTACTGTTCTCTCAAACAGTAAGATCTCTAATTGGTTTCTTTGCTTCATCCTCATGGCTTTAGGGTTCAATCTGACAGTGCAGCAGGGCCCCTAATGATATCTCAAAGATGTTTCTCATTGTGGTCTCTGGCAAAAAAGAAAAAAAATCCAGATTCCACATTCACGGACACAGGGATGGGGGAGGGAGATGGATGTGCCATGGACGTGACCCAGCCCTAGCCTGCCCCAGCTTTGAAACTGTAGGATGTGGCACCAGCCTCCACTCTGGGATTCCCCTTGCTTTTCTGATCCATAGCGGTTCCAGCTCCCTAAGTCGTCCTGATACTGGGTCTGGGAGACCTGGCTCTGGCCCAGCTTACCCACTGATTCCCCAGTGCTTGGCTTTCTAGGGTTTCCCTCCTCTATATGTAAAACTGCAGAAAAGCCTAACTTTCCTTCTCAGCCAAGGGTGAGTCAAAGTAGGGACACCAGCAAATGTTTCTGAGAATTCTTGCAGGACAGCACTGGACTGTATCTTCTGGGGTGGGAAAGGGGAGGAAGCTACTGTCAAAAAGAACAAAAATGATGACTTCTCAGTAGGCCTATGAAAGGGTTTTTTTCCTTCTCTTAGAAAAGCTTTGATCCTCAAAAAAGATCTGGGGTAAAATACTGTCATACTAGTTTAGTTTTCTGCTAAATCCAAGGGCAATATGGTGCTTTTTATTGACTCTGTGTTTTTAAGCTTTAGGCACACTTAAAGATAATTCACAGACCAAATATAAATCACAGGTTCCCTTCTTTCCCTGATGGAGCCAAGCAAAGCAGCTCTGAGTTTGGAGGCCTCTACCCAGTCAGCCTGAACCCACAAAAGGAAATCTGCATGGGTTGCCTGGAAATTGGGTTAATGCCAGCTAAACACACGCAACTATTTCTGTCTCTCTTCCCCCCTCTCTTTTTTAAAACTTTTTATTTTATTTTGGAGTATAGCTGATTAATAATGTTGTGATAGTTTCAGGTGGACAGCAAGAGACTCAGCCGTACATATACATGTATCCATTCTCCCCCAAACTCCCCTCCCATCCAGGCTGCCACATAACTGAGTAGAGTTCCATGTGCTATACAGTTCTTTTCCTCTTTCTCTTTCGATCTTTCCATCTATCCCAATCTGTTTCTCTGTGTTTGTCTGACTCTGTCTCTCTCTTTCTTTCTCATTGAGTTTATGCAGATAAAGTTGCACCACAGACCCATGCTCATACTATGGAAAAGTTGGAGGCCCAGGCTTGAGGCTGGTCCAGGGTTACACACCAGCATCCTGAATTTAGGCATGTATGTGTATCTTAGCCTGTGAAGGTTTACCGTTGAAATTGCTGGGGAAGTTCAAGCCTCAAACCAGATTTAGATAATTGAAAGCCATCATTTGCAAATGGATTAGTAGTTTATACACTTGTTACCCTTGGAGGGTAAGGGTTTGGGGAGGGGGGATGATTTCTCTTTGTTGTGTGAGGACAGTATGTGCTCTTAGGAAAACAAGATTAAGGCCATAAAAAGCCTATCTACCAAGTAGCAGGCCCCTCACCCAGGCTGGCATTAATGAGCAGATGATTAGAAAGCTGGTGTAATTATATGCTACTGACAGAGCAGGCCCTTGCCTGCAGTCGCTAGAAATGCAGTTAAAAACCTTTGCTCACTGCATTGTTTAATCAAAAAGAATAAGAGTCCTGAATCTTGTCTGCATTAAGAACAAGTTAATAAGTTAATAAATAAGTTCACTCCAGGCACTTGAAATTGTGCAAGAATCATGTCGCTAGAGCAAGGGAGCCTCAGTGAGGCAGATAAAGGGAGATGAGGGAAGACAGAGTTATTTCTTTGGCCAAGGGGTCCATGATGATTTAGGACAGCAGCAACCACCAATTCAGTCTTCCCAGTGAAGTGTCGCCCAGGGGAATGTAGCAGGAGGGCACCATACTGCAGGCCACAAAGGCTGTCTCCTAGCCCAGACTATTGTCCTGTGTGATGTAAAGCAGGTCACAGTCCCTCTGGCCTTAGTTGCCTCATGTTAAAAATAAATAAATAATATCTGTCTTCCCTACAGCACAGGATTTTATTTAAAAGATTCGACGATGCTGATATAACCACTTTGGAAAGTAACTTGGCAGTATCTAATAAAGGAAAGGTGTACTTAACCATATGACCTGCCCACTGCACCCCTAGCTACACCCACACTGTATGTCCATACAAAGATTTGTACATAAATGTTCATAGCACCTTTATTCATCATAACCAAAAACTGAAAACAACTCAAACATCCATTGAAAGGTGAACGGATAAACTAATAAGGGTATCTCTGTGAAGTGGAACATTACTCAACAATTAAAGGGGGCAAGCCAAAAATATCTACAACACGAGGGTTCTGGGAAACATGCTAGGTAAAAAGAAGGCAGATGCAAAACAGCGCATGCTCTTGTATGATTCCACTTCCATGCAAATGGAGAGAAGATGATTTCAATATATCATTAACAGAGAACAGATCAGTGGTTCTGGGACTGGGGTGGAGCAATGGGGATTGACTGTTAGGAGGTATAAGAAATTTGGGAGGTTGGATAAGGGGAAGTTCTTTGATTGTAGTGACTGTTAACAAGGGTCTGTACATTCATCAAAACGTGTATGCTTAAAATGGATGCATTTCCTATTGGTGGTAATGGCGCAAGCAGTAAAAACCTGCCTGCGAATGCAGAAGACATACGAGACTCAGGTTCGATCCCTGGGTCATGAAGATCCCCTGGAGGAGGGCATGGCAACCCACTCCAGTATTCTTGTCTAGAGAACCCCATGGACAGAGGAGTCTGGCAGGCTACAGTCCATAGGGTCGCAAAGAATCAAACACAACTGAAGCAACTTAGCACACAAAGTTGATTTTTTTTTAAAGTACAAACCAAACCAAAAAAACTTAGATGAGGAGTCTTCAGTTTGGGCTACAGTCCTGTACTAGTTCCACGGAGGGGGCCTTTTAGCAAATAATTCAGTATTTCTAAGCCTCAGTTTCTTACAGATAAAGCCAGGAATATTAATAATAAGCAGTTTATGGTGTTACTGTACAGTAAGTTAGGTGGTGCTGACACTAATCCTGTGGATGCTTTAGGGGACAAGCACTGTTCTAATTCCTTTGCAGAAATGAATTTATCTTATGAGATGGTTTTGAACCCTGCAAAGCACTATACACATGTAAGTTATAGTGCTTCCTATATCTTGGAAGTGCTTATTAGATTTCTGAACAGGGTGACATGTGCCAAGAAAAACATAAATGTAAAAGGATTACAAGCAGCATTAGTATGAACCAAGCTGTATTTCTCAATCCCACAGGAGTGGTGAATGGGGAGTGGTTCAGGAGCCTACAAGGGAAACTGGAAAGATTCTCTGTGTTTACAGAATGTCCGCATGTTCTCACATAAGGCTCCTCAAGACATTATCTGCAGATGTGTCCTGTAGATGTGGCAGGGCCTGAGCACTGTACATGTTAGTAACTGTGGGGCAGAGGTGCTTGTTCCTCTACAGCATTTGTCAGTGACATTCAGCCAGCATTTTTATACCTGCTTAGCCAGGTGGGCAGATTTGGTCCTCAGTACAAACAGCTGTAGGATACTGGGTACTAATAATAACTATTATCATTACTGTTAATTATTATCAGTACCCCATTTTGCAGATGAAGAAACCAAAACCAAGATTTCCTAATCCTCCTGGCATGCCTCTTCTTAGTTCTCTGTGATTTGGGGGTTTCTGAGCTGGGATTCAGAAGAATGAATTCCCAAGGAATGAAAGTAAGTGGGCAGTTCAGAAAACTATCAGAAATCCTAACATTAGTAAACTTTAATTTGAAGGGACTTGCTGATTCCTTTTTTAATGGGAACAGTTAGAGCATTCTAGAATGGGGAAGAGAGCCATCTTGGGATGCAGGGTCCTTTCTCCAGTGTTTTTATAGAGAAAAGCAAATGTTAAATGAACATTTAGAACATTCTGGGAGAGGAAAGAAGTCATATGCAGGTAGCCTAACTGGGCAGCTGGGAGGCCAAGTGCAGAGGACTCACAGGCTTTGAAGAGGCTGTGTGTGGAGGTGGCTGGGGGCCCAGTACTGCCTCAGCCCCCACTGGGAGCCTGGGAGGCTTCCTTCTGCCTTTGCTCTGGGTCCCAAACCTTCTGTGGCCCTAAAGGTGGCGGGTCTGACCAATGACTTGAAACAATCTATCTGTTTTGTTTTGTTTTTTTTTTTAAACTGCCTTTATTCACAAGCAGAGTGTTGATGGTGGGTCTGCTACCAGGGGCTGCCGAGAACAGCATTCTGCATGCTGCCTGCAGGTTCCCCCCACCTGCAGTGTGGGGCAGAGGAGGCGCTCCTGCACCCTGGGTGCATGCATGGATCCAGCTGGTACCCCGTGGAGCGGCTTCCTCTCGACCTTGAGGGGAAAGAAGGGCAGGTGCTGTTCTTGGTTTCTGCTCCCAGCTGAGCCGGTGTGAGCTGACCTGTCAAGGGCTTGGCCGTGGCCACTCCCTCACAGCCAGCCTAGGGACGCCAGCTATTCTCTCTGGACCGCCTTCCCCAGGTTCAGCGTGAAGTGTTGGGCAGCACGCTCTCGGCGCCCTCCCAGCTCACCCTCCCGCATCTTTCCCCGTGCACTGCCCTGGCCTCCCTGGCCTCAGGCCCCGCTTCTCCTCCCCTAGTGTGCACCAAGGGTCAGGTGGTGAGCGGCCAGTACCGGATGCTCGCCAAACATGGGGGCTACGTGTGGCTGGAGACCCAGGGGACGGTGATCTACAACCCTCGCAACCTGCAGCCCCAGTGTATCATGTGCGTGAACTACGTCCTGAGGTGAGCGTGAGGGCCGGGGCCACAAGGCTGGGGGGTGGGGCTGTTCCTGAGACTGGCGATGCAACCCAGGGACACCGGGCCCCTCAGGACCCGGGCACCACATCTTAGAGTTCTTGGCGGTGGGCATCCTGGCAACAGTGGGACTCTGGGGTTTCCCTTTGACAGCGCTTTTTCTGCCCCTTGCCTCTTGTCTGTCATCTGTCATGCCTCCACCCTATGTGGGGGAGGCAACTAGAACATGGGTATCGCCTAACCTGTTTTCTGAATGAGGATCAAGGGAAGAGAACTGCTCATAACTTTTGGGGAGAAGATGTAACACCCTAGCTATGTAGAACTTGGGAAGACAGCTGGAGAAAGGCAGCACTGGGGTGAAACAAAAGCAGAAGCCTTCAAGTCTGTGCATACCACGCAGCCCACGTACAATATTAAAACAGCATCCAAGACAGATACATATTGTGAGGCGCGCTTGGCATCACTAGGCTCCAGGACTCCAAACTACCATTGCGCAGTTCTTTACTAAACACTAACACACTGTCCATCCCCATGGTTTTGTCTGAGAGGCTTAGCTGTTGGGGCTTTAGTGTGTCTGGGAGGGCAAAAGGGTTTTGATGGAAAATGTGGAGGGTCTGAAGCTCCCTCTCGTCTCAACAGTGAAATTGAGAAGAATGACGTGGTGTTCTCCATGGACCAGACGGAGTCGCCGTTTAAGCCGCACCTCCTGACCATGAACAGCATCTTTGATAACAGCGGCAAGGCGGCTGGGTCTGAGAAGAGCAACTTCCTCTTCACCAAGCTGAAGGAGGAGCCCGAGGAACTGGCCCAGCTGGCACCCACTGCAGGAGACACCATCATTTCTCTGGATTTCGGTGGGTGCACCTTAGCTAGGCTGGGGCCATCAGACCCTCTTGGGGATGAGGGAAGACCTCCCTGGCACAGAGTTCCCTTAAGCAGAGCTGCCGCGTGCCTTCTCTGAGTCTTGCTAATCATCCATTAGTGTGGCCAGACCCTGAGCTGTGCACACACACTCACCATGGCTCAGGCCTGCCCTATGTCTGACCTCTCAAGGCACTGACCCGGGTGGGGTCTGGTCAATTCTCCATCATGGGCAGTGGGAGTCTGAGACGAGAGGTCTCAGGGGTCTGCTCTGAGGCCCTGGGCATATTTTCGCAGAGTGGGCAGGTCTCCACCTTGAAAGACAGATGGTGTGTTTAGGCAGAAGGCTGCTAGGTTGAAATAATGTTGGGAGAAATCATCCCAGAAACATGGATGGAGAAACAGATTCAGGCCCAGCAGTAAGTCCTTACGTGCACGTCTTTAAACGTTTACCTGTCCCATGGGGATGTGAGTCCTGGTGGCCCCAGCAGGGTTTCCAGCTCTTGACCCTTGCTGTGTACCTGCAAAGCCCCTTCCTCCCCGTGTAGCAACTGACCACCATCACCCCCAGCCTTACTGTAGCCACTCAAGGAATAGCTACACCTTCCTGTGCTTGCTCTGAACTGCCTTGGCCCTGCTACACGTGTTCTTGAGAAGCCACAAGGGAATCGTGACTGCAGAGAGTCACAGAGGGCAAACCTGAGCCAAGGACTCATGCAGCGTCCCGGTTTTGGGGCAATAACGAGGTCACCTGCCCAGTTCTCATAACCTCCTCCTCTGCATTCTAGATTGCCCTTCAGGGAAGAGAGGCAACTGACATTTAATCTCCGAAAGTTAGCGGCTCCAAGAGGATGTTCCCATTAAACAGAGTCTGTACACTGAAGCAGAGCCTGGGTTGAAGGCCTCTTTAACCCACCTAAGCCTCAGTGCACCAGGGCCTAGCCCCAGGCACGCTGCAGACCCTTTTAGGAGCTCTTGTGCATCCTTCGGGCTTCCTCTGTCCAGGGGGTGAGCCCAGTGGTTGTGGATGCTAACCAAGCCAGGCCCTGTCTCCACAGGGACCCCGAACTTTGAGGAGTCCTCAGCCTATGGCAAGGCCATCCTGCCCCCAGGCCAGCAGTGGACCGGAGAGTTGAAGAGCCACAGCGGCCACAGCGAGGCCGGGAGCCTGCCCGCCTTCACCGTGCCCCAGGCGGCCGCCCTGGGGAACAGCACCCCCAGTGGCAGCAGCAGCAGCAGCTGCTCCACGGTGAGCCCCCCGCCTTGGGTTGAGGTCGTGGAGAAGGGGAGCTCCTCTGTCTGCTGCCGGATGGCTGAATGGACAGGCCAGGCCCCAGCACTGCCCTCCTCTTCCTCAGGTTTCCTGCAGACCCCGCGGGTGGCTGTAAGACTTACCTGCCACATATTAGACCCTTGCTGTTGGCACTCACTCCACCCCCATCTACAGAATAAGGTCCTTGAAGACAGGGGCTCAGTCACTCATAGCTGTGAGCCCTGAGCTCGATCCCCATGCAGGACAGTAACCATCCTGCTGGGCGCAAAGGGCCTGGCCAGCCATGCCTCTGTCTGGCTTGTTCTTCAAGACAGCCTCATTTTATGGCGAGGAGACTGAGCTCAGAGAGGTTCACACAGCTCGTATGGAGTGGCCTGTCTACAAACCCTTGTTCCATGGAATGGAGTTGACTCTGTGGGTCCAGAGGTGTATTTCTCCTTCCACCTTGGACTCCTGGGGAAAGCAGTATCATAGCCTTGACTTGGTCACCTTCCTTCCTGGCCCCTAGCCCAGTAGCCCTGGAGACTATTACACATCTCTAGATGACAGTCTGAAGATTGAAGCAATCGAGAAGCTCTTTGCCATGGACACGGAGACGAAGGACCAGTGTGGCACCCAGGTACGTAGTCAAGGAGAAGGTCAGGATGGTGCGCCAGGCCTGCCAGCTGCTGGTGGTAAAGGCTTACGTCCATTCTTGCAGCCTCGGCCCTTTGTTGCAAAGACTGGTGGGAAAGCTTGGCCAATGCCATAGTCCCTTAACTGGGTGAGAGTGCAGGGAAGTGGAGCCTGTGGTCGTCTGCTTCCCCCACTTCTGCCCTCTGCTTTACCCATGTCAAATCCAGCTCTTTTTAACTCTCCATATATTTATGTCCTACTAACTTGGATATTTATTAGTGCTCAGAAAGCCAAAACTACAACTGAACCTTTCTTTAAGGAGCCCTGCATTTAAAAAGCATACCCAGATGTCCAGATGTATAAGACTTTTCTAAGCACAGGGAACAATTCCCTTTACAAACATTTTCATTTTAGGATTCTTTGAAATAACTTACATTAATTCATGTCAATGTAAGACAAAAACCACTACAATATTGTAAAGTAATTAGCCTCCAACTAATAACAGTCTTGTAAAACCTGTGTAAACAGGGTAGGGTATGGGTGGATGGGTAGGTGTGTCACAAAACCCAAAGGAAATTTATTAATCCCTATTTGTCTTACTCTGGGTTATTCATCCAAATTTCTGCCTTGCCTCCTCAGTTTGTGTCTTCATTCTGCAATCTTTCCGTACTTCAACACTGCACTTTCTTCTCTGAACTCCAAGATTTATTCCTTGAAAAGAGAACGTGTATAACTGGATGCTGCGTCTCTTTAACTGTTTCATGTAGTTGTAACCGTTAATAAGCTACCTCCCCCCAGTGAGGGCTGAAATGTTTGTTTTGCTGCATCTGCTTGTGAGAATTCCCTATGGTGCCCATACTGGGAACCTGAGGGGCCATCTCTGAGTCCTTGTTGATCTGAAAGAAGGCCCCACAGCGAGCACTGGGCCACGGTTACCCTACGGGTTGTCCGCAGATACAGGGAGAGGAGGACAGAGCTGCCCTTGGCCCCCAGGAGCCGTCGTGTTCATCAGAGTAGGCAGTGGGGTGTGTGGAAGAATGACTGCGTGGAAGGAGGCACAGGAAGGCTGGTAGCACTTGTCAGAAGACCTTCCGCACTTTGTGGACACATCTGGGTTTTCCTCTCTTGGGCCCTCCAGAGCTTAGCGCTGTCAGGCCGTGCAGGAGGAGTGCCTCGGGCAGGGGGTGGCGGAGCGAGGGGCTAAGATGAGACAGTGTCCCTGAGGCAGCGCCCACTGCTGAATTGCTTTGCCCCTGCTCTGTCTTCTAGACTGACTTTAACGAGCTAGACTTGGAGACCCTGGCGCCTTACATCCCCATGGACGGAGAGGACTTCCAGCTCAGCCCCATCTGCCCCGAGGACAGCCTTCTGCCGGAGACCCCCCAGTCAACCCCCCAGCACTGCTTCAGCACCATGTCAAACATCTTCCAGCCGCTGGCTCCAATGGCCTCTCACAGCACCTTCCTCCTGGACAAGTATCAGCAGCAGCTGGAAAGCAAGAAGACGGAACCTGAGCAGCGGCGTGTGTCCTTCGCCTTCTTTGACGGTGGGAGCAAGGTGTCCCTGCTGCAGTGCTGTGGCCAGACCTGCACCCCTCTCTCCTCCATGGGAGGCATATCCAACACACAGTGGCCCCCTGACCCACCATTACAGCTGGGGCCCATGAAGTGGCCTGGTGAAGATCAGCACGCAGAGGCCTTGGGGGCAGCACCCTTGGGGCCTCCCATTGCCACACCCCATCTCGCCATGTTCAAGAAGAGGTCAGTGACAGTGGGCTGCTTCAGCTAAGGCTGTGCTGTACGGGGGAGGAGGTGCAGACAGGTGCCCACTAGAGGCAGGTATGGGGCTCCAAAAGGCCCCTTGCCCCATCACCAGTTTCCATTAGACAGTGATCTGATATACCGCTTAGCCCTTCTCTAAACTCTGAGAGCTTGGGCTTTAGGGGACTGGCCCTAAGATATGTGAGGCCTCGAGTGGGACACGTTTTATCAGAGCCACAGATCACCCACACACACAACATGGAGGGACATTTCCTCAGTTCGAGCGTGGATGTCTAGTCGAAAAAAGTGAAACGATGCCTCTGACTTCGGCTGCCAGAGTCTAGCATCGCCCTCCCCGTCCTGCCTCCTCCCAGCATCTGCCAGTACCCACCACCCCCACAAGGCCCCTCCAACCCCTGGGAGCTACCCTGGCTGTGACATGGGGGGAATAGACTTCAGGTTCCCAGGGCCCATTGGTTAGGCTTCCCTGAGGCCCTTGCCTTTTACCTTGCCTTTTAAGGGCATCCTCACTAGTCCCTGGTGGGGAGCAGAGCAGGGCAGATGGGGCAGAAGCGGCCCTTGCAAAGACAGCTGTCACCGAGCTGGGCAGCCACGCACCAGCCCAGGACCAAAGGCCGCCGGGGGCCAGCCACGTGTGGAGGGAAGTGCAGACAACTGGACCACCAGTGTCCACCAGGCAGACGACACTGCGGAAGGGGAGAGCCCCAGCCCAGGCCCTCTTCCCGGACTCTGCCTTGGGGCTCCAGAGCCACCGCTGTCAGCATCCTCCTCCTGGGAGGACCCTGGGCACGTGGCGCCCCAGACTCTCTCACGCCCACTCTCTCCGGCTTGGCAGGTCTGCCAAGGGCTTCGGGCCTCAGGGTCCAGATGTGATGAGCCCGGCCATGATTGCCCTCTCCAACAAGCTGAAGCTGAAGCGACAGCTGGAGTATGAGGAGCAAGCCTTCCAAGACATGAGTGGGGTGAGCCATCTCCTGGGGCCATTGCCGCAGGTTCCCTCCACGGCCCTGGGGAAGGCTGGGTGGGAGCCGGGGCTGAATGTAGAGAACCCAGGCTGACAGGGAGGGTCTCTCAGGGCGAGCAGGGCCCACCTCACCCCGGCGCAGTTTGGGACTGGGTTCTCTGGCCTCTCCCTCTATGTCTGCGCTTCCACATGCAGGGGGATCCGCCAGGCAGCAGCACCTCACATTTGATGTGGAAAAGAATGAAGAGTCTCAGGGGTGGTGGGACCTGCTCTCTGATGCCGGACAAGCTGCCAAATGCAAACGTCCGTAATGGTGAGTGTAGTCCTGGGCCGTGGCGGGGTGGGGTTGGGAGGGGGCATTTGCCACTGGAGCTAGGGTTTTGGCTCCGGGCTCACCCTGGTTCCTGTCTCTCACCACCTGAGGGTGACATCGTCAGAAATCTCTGGGCTTCTCCCGTGGAGGAAGAGGGATGCCGGGGGTGTCACAGTCTGTCCCCTCACTCTGACATTGGCCTTTTCAGATGAGTTCATCCAGAATCCCGTGAGGGGCAGGAGCCAGCCCCTGAGACACTTACCACCACCACAGCCTCCGTCTGCCCCTAGCCCGGGGGAGCCCCCCAAGAGTGGGTTCCCCCCGCAGTGTTACGCCCCCCAGTACCAGGACTACAGCCTACCAGCGGCTCACAAGATGTCAGGTGGGTGCACTCAGGACCAGGAGTGCTGTGCCAGGGCCTGGGGGCTGTGGGAGGGTGGGAGCCAGGGGGTGGAGAAGGTGGCAGGTCTCAGCACAAGGATGAACTTGCTCATGCAAGGCAGCTGCCTCGAGAGGGGTGAGCCCTCCTATCCCCGGGGGACCACAGCAGAGACTGGAAGGCCACCTGTCCACAGAGCTGTAGAAGGAGCCCTCCAGTGACTAGGTGACATTCAGGGCTATACCACTGGCCGAGTCCCAGAGCCTATGCCTTTTGCTCAGTTCTTCATGTTACTGTAATGCCTGATGCAGTGACCTACTGGGGCATCATGCTGAGATGAGGACGCAGTGCTGGGAGGGCGGCCAGGCTTTCCCTTGGAGGGGTCCCTCTGCTGGACCTTGCTTTCTGGGAGGACTGGCCACCCGATGCCTGCCTCTTACCCCCCTCAGTCTTTCAGCATCCTATGAAATATATTGTCATGAAGAGGTTGCTATGTAAACAGGAACGTAATTCATACTTTGGGTGAAACATACCAAACTCCTGCCCTAAAAGAGGGTCATTTCTTCAGCACTATGGTTTGGGACAGACCGCTGTTCAGTGTTTCAGAGTCCAGGCTTTAGTCACAAGATAGTCCTGGGCTTACATTCCAGCTTTGCTCCTTACCTACCTTAGGTTGGAGTAGCAGCCCGCACATTTAATTTAGAGGCTTGCATGCAAAGTGTGGGCTTCCCTGGTGGCTCTGTGGGTTAAGAATCTACCTGCTAATGCAGGAGACTCAGATTCGATCCCTGGGTCAGGAAGATCCCCTGAAGAAGGGAATGTCAAACTACTCCAGTATTTTTGCCTGGGAAATCCCATGGACAGAGGAGCCTGGTGGGCTACAGTCCATGGGTTTGCAAAGACTGACCATGCCCACACCTGTGCAAAATGTATATGTTCGTGTATATGTTTGCATGAAGTTGTAGTCAGCATTATTATCCCTACTGTGAACCCATGAGTTTCCTTGAATAGAAACTCATTCTTTTCAGGGGAAAATAATTTTTTAAATTTAGGTCGGTTCTGAGGGTGAGTAAAAGAAGAGGGGATTAAAAAAGGATGATGAGCAAGTACCCCTTTATACTGTGGGGCTGCAGACAGCCATGAGACACACCCAGTCCACAGGAGAGCAAGGATGAGTGGGGGAGGCAGGCATGGGCCCTAGGAGGTGGCTAAGATGCGGGCTGAAGGGAGAGAGGGCCCGGGGCTGAGATGCTTTACGTAAGTCAGGAAGGGAAGCAGGGACTCACATCACTGGGGCCGGTGAAGGGCTTCTGGGTCTGCCTCCAGGCACCCAGGCCCTCTCTTCCCTGGAAGTGGGAGGTGGGAGGTGGGGGTTGAGCTGGGAATGTCCCCTTATCTTCCTTCTCAGCAGGAGAGGAGCAGCCAAGGGTGGGGATCCTGAAACTGGAAGTCAGGCCTTTGAAGGACCCATGTGTGTGTGTGTGTAAATGTGTGTGCAGGTGTGTACAGGCACCAACTGGTTCAGAACTCCATCTCTCTGCTCGGCCTCCCCTCCCACTGCCAGGGCACAGGGCTCAGTCAGCAACTCCGCGCCGTGCCCTGGCACTGGCTCACGCCTCCACTCCCAGGCCAGGAAGCCTTTGTGGGACTCCTTCCACCCACCCTCCCCATCCTCTCTGCACTGCGCACTCTGTCCCCACCTTGGATCTCAGCCCCTCACCTGATGAGAGAGGTGAGCATGCTGTCTGCTGGGTCCCTGCTCCAAGCTCGTGGTAGGTCACTAGGGAAAGACAACCCTGAAGAGTGAAATGAGGGCTGCCCCACTGTGCCCCAGAGTCATGGCAACTGGAAGTGCCTCTTGCTCTGCGAACCCGCTGCATCCCTGCTCGCCTTTTAGGGAGCAGACCCGCCCCCCACGGTTGACTCAGGGTTTTTAAACGACAGCACTAACTCTCTATTCAGGCATGGCAAGCCGGCTGCTCGGACCCTCGTTTGAGCCCTACCTGCTGCCGGAACTGACCAGATATGACTGTGAGGTGAACGTTCCTGTTCCGGGAACCTCCACGCTCCTCCAAGGAGGGGATCTCCTCCGAGCCCTGGACCAGGCCACCTGAGCCAGGGCCGCCCACCGACAGGCACCCTTCCCACGCCGTCCCACCAGCTTCACGTTCTCCATCTGTTTTTTGCAACTAGGTATTTCTAACACCACCACACTTTTTACAAGATATACTTACCTGGCAAACTTGTCCAGGTCACTGAGTAGTGGCCTTTTTCTGAAGATGCTCACTTTATTATCCATATTTTTAAAATATAATTGTTTTACCTGCTATGTTTTGCTCTGTCAATGGAAATGTTCTTAAATTTTATAAGATTTTTCTTTCCCCAAATTCTAATTTATAATATTCATGGGTCTGTCTCACACACACACAAACAATATTCATATTAACAAGTTTGGTGTATGTTTGTTCTCTTTTCAGGAAAGCTTTGGCTTCATTAACTAAAAAAGATTTTGTTGTTGTTGCCAAAGAGAAACAAAATAATCTTGCTTTCTCAGCTTGATTTTTGGCCTCTATCTCTCAGCCCTCCTTTCTTTTTTAAGACTAATCACTGTATTGTAAATTTCCATCTTTTTTTTTTTAAGCCAACTCTTTGCTCTAATTTTAATATGACTTTTGGGGGTAAAAAAAGAAATGTGAAGGGTAAACTCCATTGTGTGTGGTTATCTATGAAAGTTGCACAGTATGGATTTTCTTAAACTGGTGTTTTTCCCCTGCATTTGGTGGATTTTTTTTTAATTATTATTATTCAAAAGCATAACTGAGTTTTTTAAGAAAGAAAATTTATATCTGGGTTAAGTGTTTATCATATATATGGGTACTTTGTAATATCAGAAACGGAAATGGAATCCTGCTCACAAAATCACTTTAAAATCTTTTTTTAAGCTGTTGATCTTTTTCCTGATGTTGCTGACACTGCAGAATTGTACAGAACTCCCACGGGCCTGTACTAACCTTGCTCAAGGTCTCTCTCTGTTGGCTTTTTGCTTTCGGGATATGCCATAGGCGTGACAAATAATCCAGAAAGTGGAATCATTAAGTGGGAGCATTGCGAGCTGTCTTCTCCTCGTGTTCTATATGTATTTTGTATGTATGTATGTATGTATTATTATTACTGCCAAGAGGGTCTGATGGCACGTCAGGGGTGGGGGTGGGATGATCTAAGGGAGGGGAAGTGCTTTAACTCTTCTTAAGATTTTGTTGCCAGCCCTTCAAGTGCACTGAGCTGTGTGACTCTAATGGTCTCTCATGTGGCATTTGGATACTTCCAGAACACCATGAGGTGGTTTAAATGGGAATTCATGAAACGGTGCAGATTCAGAAACAGTACAGCGATCCAGTGCACGTCCAGCTCACCACCTTGGAGCCCATGGAGTTGAACCGGGGTGGGGTGAAGGTGCAGAAAGAGGGCCCTTGGTCCTGACCAGCCTCATCCTCATGCCCCTTCCTCATGGGGCCAGGCCCTCAGATCACCCTGCAATATCAAGGTGCAGCAAGCAGACCTCCGGGGATGGCCCCTGGGCCTCCTTGAGGTCTGTCTGTTCCCAGAAGTGACATATATAGGTAGGAAGCACTGAAAACAGTCTCCTAAAAGTGCCTTGTAACTCACCAGGTAAGAGGGACAGTATCACTTGTTTTCAAAATACTAGCCACATGGAACTTTTCTATCCTGGGTACAACGACGAAGTTTCTAGAAACACACAAAGCAAAATACAGCAAATCGAGAATCTGGTAAGCTGGATGAGCTTATTGCCCAAAACAAAATATTTGAGTTTCAAAAGAAAAATTACCTAGTCACTGTGTTGCCCAAATTGTACTTTAGCACCGCAGCCCTGCCTCACGCACAGTGGGCTGCACAACCTGAAGGGCTACTGACGTGTAAGCGCTGGTGTTTGATTTTCTGTGTTTGCCTCAGCATTAAGGGCATTTTACCCTTGCAGTTTTACTAAAACACTCTGAAAAATATTCCAAGCTTCATATTAACCTTATCTATCAACATAATGATTTCGTGAACATTATTATTTTGTCCAGTTCCTACTGACAACGTTATTACTATATGGGAGCTTAACTTTATAAGGAAATGTATTTTGACACTGATATCTTATTAAAGTATTCTGATCCTACCACTGCTGGTGGCTCTTGTTTCTGGTGGATTGATCATGGGTTACACTGATATAAAGTGAACTATTGAGTAGTTTACAGAAAATGAACATGGGCACTGATCTTTGTGAGACAACTGACAGGAAGCTGGATGAAGAAAAAAAGGCTATTATTAAACCTTTCCAACTGTCTAAGACCAGGAAGCCAGGCTACATCATCCATATTTCTGCAGGTGGTGTTCTGTCCGCCACAGGCCTCTTTTTCTGTATTCTGGAAGGGCACCAAGAAAAGAAGTCATGCTCCCTGGCTTCAGAAATTTACAGGAAGGATTTTGAGAAATAAAATATTTTCAAATGCAGGTGGCTTAGGAGTAGGTGGGCTTCCCTGCTAAAGAATCTGCCTACAGTGCAGGAGACCTGGGTTTGATCCCTGGGTTAAGAAGATCCCCTGGAGGAGAAAATGACAATCCACTCCATTACTCCTGTCTGGAAAATCCCACAGACAGAGGATCCTGGCGGGCTACAGTCTGCACGCAGTCATTTCAGTTGTATCCGACTGTTTGCAACCCTATGGACTATTGCCCACCAGGCTCCTCTGTCCATGGGATTCTCCAGGCAAGAATACTGGAGTAGGTTGCCATTTCCTACTCCAAGGGATCTTCCCAACTCAGAGATCTAACCTGAATCTCTTATATCTCTTACGCATTGGCAGGTGGGTTCTTTACCACTATGGGGTTGCAGAGACACAACTGAGCGACCAACACTTAGGAGTAGGTGTGTGTGTACATGGCCAGGTGTGCAGGGGCAGCAGCCTGCAAGAATTAACAATAGATCAGCCAATGGGGTTCCTCCTGACTCTAGATGCATTCTCCTCCAGGCATGCAAAACTCACCTTCCCAGAGCTTACCTTGCCTAACAGCCTCCAGATGAGAAGTCCCTCTTTTGAGGGCTGGGGACACGCAGACCCAAAGCTGAGGGAGGAGGCAGCCCCACTTGGTGAAGAAGGGCCAGCCGTGGCTCCCTGTGATCCGAGTGGGGCAGAATTTACCCTCTCCTAAAGCATGGTCTCTAATGAAGATTTCAAACTGGAGTTGAAGGGTCAAGTGTGGGTTTCGCTAGAGATACACCACAGACCCATTTCATCATAACATACAAGATTCAACCCTCTGTAGCCCTGTTCTCCTCAGTCCTTGCCCACCCTCTGCTTTATGTGAAAAAGAACTTTAAAAAATTTTTATTCTTTTTGGCCACATTTCATGACACATAGGATCTTAGTTTCCCAACCACGGATTGAACCCATGCCTCCAGAACTGGAAGCACAGAATCTTTTTTTTTTTGGGGGGGGGGGTGCTGCAGGGAGCACAGAGTCTCAACCACTGGACTACTAGGAAAGTCCCCCAAAAAATTTCTATCAGGAGGCCTGCAGGTTAACCAGGTTCTTCCTGTCTTGAGACAGGGGTATCCCCAGTAAGACAGCAGTACTGGATGTACTAGTCCCAGATGGACTCAAGGTGCTAAAATAGGCCTGGAAATGATGTAGCCCAAACTTGTCATCTATTTTTTGCAACCTCTTCATTCTAGAGATGAGAACATTGAGGCCCAGAGAGACAAAGGGGACTTGCCTGCTGTCACATGTGAGTGAACAGCAGGGCTGGGTGCAGAACCCAGGCCAGCATCACAGGGACTGAGGCCAACTTCACCATATGCGAAAGGGACCACATCCTTGCCCCATGACATCAGGTCTCAATTTCCCAGCCAGTGCACAGGCCCTTCCCTCTGCCATCTCACAGGCCCCGGCCTCTGTCTCCCCCGCAGGGCACTTTCAGTTCCTCTAAAATGATCACTATCACAGCATCACCCCATTTCTTTAAACTATTCTGTTGAGCTCAGTGACCCTTGGAGGAACTGCTTGGCCTCTCTGTGACCTTGGTGAAAACTAAACCACCTCCTTCATTTCTAGACTGAAGCTTCCTTGGCCTCCCAGACCCCAGGAAAAAGGGGTTTTGAGGTACTTCTCTACCCACACCCTACCACACACACAGCAGGGTTTGGTTTTGTTTTGTTTTGTTTAATGATACTTATTTGTTAAAGTCATGGTCTCTCCCAGAGTTTACCAGCTAGTAAAGGAAACCACCCTGGCTAACTCAGATTCCTGTATGCCTGTGTATGATGAAGCCCACAGCCCACATTTTCCCAGGCAGTCCTAGTCACAGACATCACGTCTCAATGTCCCCCCAAGTGTGCTTGTACACACTGGGTACTGACCCCCATCTTGGGTTCATAAAACAAGAATCTTATAGATACAAATGAGCCTTCAGTTGCTTTAGGGTGAACCCCAGTTCCTAGGGAAGTTCAAAGGAGGCCAGGACAGATCAGTGTGGACCCCAATCAGACCTGGGAAGAAAGAGGATGCAGAGGAAGGTGGGGGGTCATTCTAGATGTGGATGGACAAGGGGGACAAAGGCACAAAGTCAGAATGAGCAGTCATGCAGGAAACCCTGGGATCAGGTGGGACCAGGAGCTGGGATGGAAGGTGGGGTGCGGGCAGCCTGGCCACTCCCAGCACCGGTCTGGAGTCAGACAGACCTGGATTCAAATCCTGGCTCTGCTGCTTCTTAGCCGAGTAACCTTGGGGAAGCCCCTTCATGTCTGATAGCCTGTGTCTGCTTTCCTGTGAAAGGAGCATAACAGTTCCTACCTTGTAGGGGTGAGGCTGGAGATATGGATTTGGGGGTTGCCCGTAGGGTAGCTGTACTTAAATCCCTGAGACAGGATGCACTATACCCAGGAGGTAAGAGCACAGAGAAACAACAGAGCCTTAAGACAGAGCCCTAACCATGGCAATGCTGGTAGAAGCCCGGGAGAGGAGCTGCCAGCAGAGAGTCTGGTGGAGGAGCAACAAGTAGGAAAAAAAATAAGATTTCAGGGCTTCCCGGTGGCTCAGTGGTAAAGAATCCACGTGTCCGTGCAGGAGACACAGGTTCAATCCCTGGTCCAAGAAGATCCCACGTGGAGCGGAGCAAATAAGCCCATGTGCCACAACTTCTGAACCCACGCACCACAACTACAGAAGCCCGATCACCCTAGAAGCCCGTGCTCGACAACAAGAGAAGCCACCGCAATAAGAAGCCCGCACATTGCAACTAGAGAGTAGCCCTCGCTCACCACAACTAGAGAAAAGCCCACACAGCAATGACGACCCAGCACAGCCAAAAATTAATTAATCAAAAAAAAAAAAAAAACCCACAGGATTCCAGTATTCCATATGCCAAGAGAAGACAGTTTTTTTCTTTTTTTTTTTAGGGATCTAAGAACTTTTTTTTTTTTTTAGTTTTTTTTTTTTTTTCATTTATTTTTATTAGTTGGAGGCTAATTATTTTACATCATTGCAGTGGGTTTTGTCATACATTGAAATGAATTAGCCATGGTTTTACATGTATTCCCCATCCCGGTCCCCCCTCCCACCTCCCTCTCCACCCGATCCCTCTGGGTCTTCCCAGTGCACCAGGCCCGAGCACTTGTCTCATGCACCCAACCTGGCTGCTATCCAAAAGTCTACAAGCAATAAATGCTGGAGAGGGTGTGGAGAAAAGGGAACCCTCTTACATTGTTGGTGGGAATGCAAATTAGTACAGCCACTATGGAAAACAGTGTGGAGATTTCTTAAAAAGCTGGAAATAGAACTGCCATATGACCCAGCAATCCCACTTCTGGGCATACACACCGAGGAAACCAGATCTGAAAGAGACACGTGCACCCCAATGTTCATCGCAGCACTGTTTATAATAGCCAGGACATGGAAGCAACCTAGATGCCCATCAGCAGACGAATGGATGAGGAAGCTGTGGTACATATACACCATGGAATATTACTCAGCCATTAAAAAGAATTCATTTGAATCAGCTCTAATGAGATGGATGAAACTGGAGCCCATTATACAGAGCGAAGTAAGCCAGAAAGATAAAGACCATTACAGTATACTAACACATATATATGGAATTTAGAAAGATGGTAACGATAACCCTATGTGCAAAACAGAAAAAGAGACTCCGATGTATAGAACAGACTTGTGGACTCTGGGAGAAGGCGAGGGTGGGATGTTTCAAGAGAACAGCATCGAAACACGTATATTATCTAGGGTGAGACAGTTTTTTTCAACAAGTAGGAATAGTTAACTGGGTCACATACTAAACTGAAAGGTCACGTAAAATGAGAAGGAAAAAAATGACTCTGGGGTTTGGCAATACAGAGATCATCACTGACCTTGACCTACTGTATAGCACAGTATTACTATACTGGGGAACTCTACCCAATATACTGTGATAACCTCTATGAGAAAAGAATCTTAAAAAGGAATGGATATATGTAAATGTATAAAATGAATCACTTTGCTATACACTTGAAACTAACACAACATTGTAAGTCAACTACAATAAAATTAAAGTATAAAAAAATAACAAAGGCCTACTTACAGCAGGGAGAACTACTTTCAATACCCTTTGATAAACCATCATGGAAAAGAATATGAAAAAGAACGTATATCTATGTATGTGGATAACTGAATACTTTGCTCTACAGCAAAAATTAATACATTGTAAATCAACTATACATCGATAAAATAATTTTTTTTTAAATTTCCCTGTGAAGGGAAGCAGAGAAATGGAGTGGAGTGGGCAGAAGGGGTCAGGGGAAGTTTTTCGTAAACACTTAATGAACTTTTATTTTAGAATCATTTTAGATTTATAGGAAAATTGCAAGAATATTAGACAGAGTTCCTGCACTGAATTACCCGTCGCTAACTTTTCGATGGCACTTATGTTACAACTAAGGAAGCAATATTGGTATTATGTTTTTTATTATATAGAATCTGTATTTTATTCAGACTTTAGTTTTTACCTTTTTTTCCTATTCCAGGATCCCAGCCAAGAGACCACGTCATATCCAACTGTCAAGCATCCTTCAGCTTCCCTAGACTGACAGTTTCATGGCCCATCATAATAGTTATTCAGACCATCTGTGTTGTTGATGACCTTGACAGTTTTGAGGAGTGCTAGTCAGATATTCTTATAGAATAGCATCCTTTGATTTGGATTTGTCTGATGTTTTTCTCATGGTTAGAGAAACACTGTGGGTTTGAGGGAGGAAGACCACAACAGTGCCATTGTCATCACCTCATATCAAGGGTAACATACTCTCAATGTGACTTATCACTGTTGATGTTAATCTTGATCACTCAGCTGAGGTCACCTTTTTCGGAGTGCTCCACTGCAAAATTACTGATTCTTTAGGGGCAGTTTTTTAAAGATGAGCTATATTAGGAAATGTTTGTGTTGTGATGGCAGAAAGGAATGTTTCTAAGAGAGTGACTATTATGATAGACCATGAAAATGAAACTGTGTGAGAAGGAAAGAAAAAATATGAAGAGGTTGATGGTCAGTGAAAAAAGTAGGCTCAGTGAATTAGAGGTCCTAATGAGGTCAAAGAGAGGTCAGAGTGATGTGTAGAGAGAAGGAATCATGCAGATAATCATTGTCAGAGGAGGGGAAACTTAAAATTGGGGCATCACGTATACTTACACATGACCCAGCAATACCACTTCTAAGTATTTATCAAAGAAATGAAATTTTTAAATTAAAAAAAAAATTTGCCCACAAATTAGAGCAGTATTATTTGTATTCACCACAAACTGGAAACAACCCAAATGTCCTTCAACAGAAGTATAAATTTAAAAAAAAAAAAAACTGCTTCATTGATAGCATAGACTACCACTCAGCAATCAAAGTTTTAACACATTTGATTCAGGTAGCAACATGCATGAATTGCAAAAGTATTGTGTTGAGTAAAAGAAGCCAGTATCAAAAGGTTCATTCTATGTAATTCCATTTATATGACATTCTGAAAAAGGCAAAAAATATAGGAACAGAGAACAGATCACTGGTTGCCAGGGGCTAAGGGTGGGAGAAGTCTGAATATAAAGGGAGAGCACAGGGATTCTTTGGAGTATTGGAACTGTTGCGTATCCTGTCCATAGTGGTCATTACGAGAATTCATGCATGTGCAAAAATCATAGAACCATACATCAGGAAAAAAAAATTTACTGTATGTAAATTTCTTTTTAAAATAAAAGCAAAATTTGAGATTTTAGAGGCAGCTGAAATAACAGCAGAGACAGTCAGAGGAAGTAGGGAGACAGGATGTTGTCAGGGTTGAGGTGGGCGTTATGGAGGCACTGCTCATAAAGGTAAAGGAGAGGCATGCCCCTGAGAATGAAGCCACTGGAGGCCGAGGCTGACAGCTGTGAGGAGCATCCAGTCACATGAGCAGGAGGGAAGAGGGAGGAGAAGGGGTTGTGGGAGGGGGACAGGGTTAGGGTTAGCTGAGAGCCAGGCTCCAGTTCAAGAGGAAACTGATGATATGTTCAGAGAAGAAGCGCAACCTAGGTGGTGGTTAATGTCAGACACAGCTCCAGAGACTGCATGAGAGGTGCAGAGTGGGAGGGTGGGAGATGGGGGAAATGATAGATGTGCAGAACCCTCGGGGACAAGAGCCTGGGGATGACACATAGGCCTGGAAGCCTTGGTCGGCCACTGGTGACTGAGGGACAGGGAGTGAGAGAGATCATGTGTCCTCCCGAGGGCCTCTTGGAGATTCACGCGGGCAGGCTGGGGGCCGACCCCTCCTGCAGCCCTGGGGAGGCACGCAGCTTCTCCACCACCTCCATAGAGGTTTGCAGGCTCTACTTATCTCCTGCAGCACCCAGGGACCATCAGATGAGTGCACTCACTGAGCGTAAGGTGGGCTTGCTTCTGAGTCAGGTGTGAGGGCGCAGGGGGCGGCTCCCCCCCTTCCTGCCTGTTGAAACCTTGGTTTTGAACCCTGTGGGTGTGCCCAACACTTGCTGGAACAAAGGAAGACAGTGCGGTTGGAGGACCCAGTGGCCTGAAACAAAGTGATGTTTTCCCATCCTCATTAGCCTGGTGGAGGCGAGGGCAGCTGAGCATGAACATTGACATCATTTGGGGGCCTTGCTTAAAGGCCAAGGCAGGGCTCCAGCTAAAAGATTCAAATCTGGACGAGAGCAGTCAGACTGGGGTAGGCAGGATGGGTGTGGGGAATCCAGGACATGTGTGTCCACTCCTGCTGTGGCTTCAAACATGGAGCGGCTGCCATACTAACCAAGGTGGCCTCTGCCATGGGGAGATTATGCCCACCATCCCACTCACCAAGGAGCCGTGATGGAGGCACCAGCATTGCTGAGTTGATAGTTCTATAATAGCGTGAGCTAGATGCAACCCCAATATATTCTGTCCCTCTCTGGGCACCATACTCTAATAGAGATACACATAAACAAGAATTTGTTCAAAAAGGACCACTAAAATAGTGATGGGACTTGCAACCACAGAGTTGCAAGAGTGGAGTGGAGAAGTTGGGACAGTTTGTCCTAGAGACTTTGAGAGAGCTCAAATGACCACCTTCAAATATCTGGAGAAGAGTTTTTCTGGATGCCCCCCTAGTATCATTATTAGTTAAAGTATACACTTTATTCAAATTTCCTTGATTTTTACCTAATGTCCTTTTTTCCCCATCCAAGAAACTACATAATAATCATTGTATCTGCTTAGGCTCCCCTGGCCTGTGACAATTTCTCCAGCTGACTTATTTTTGATGACTTTGACAGTTTTGAGCAATACTGGTTTTTTAGCAATAGAGAACTAGGCCTGTAGATTCAGAAAAACAGCAGCTCAATGCAAGTATACTCAAAAGTAAACCTCACTCCTCTTATAATGTGTCAGCTTCTGTTTGCTCAGTATAACAGGAAGTAACATTTACTTCACTTACCCAAGAGAGCTATTTAGAGGATAATGCCATCTAAGGATATCTGGTGAAGGTAAAGAAAAATCTTAATTTCACATCTTTGTTCAGGTCTGGCCATCAGATCATGAAGGTGGCGCATGAAACCTAGGATAGGCAGAGAGGGACCAACACTGCACCTTAACTCTTATCTTCTGTCTGTGCAGAAGAAAGTGCAAATTATGTTGAACTTAAATATTTAGAATATTTTTCTTCATATGGATTTATAGCATATGGTCTCTTAAGAAGTACTGCTTCTCTTTGGGAGATACTGGGGAGTCACATCGGGAGTCACATCTGAAGTCAGTAAAGTAAAAACCACCGGCATCAAAATTACCCTCAAGAACCCCTATGGAAGGTGTGACTATGCTGGGAACCAGCACCCCACCTCTGAGCCCAGCACAGCCAGTTCCCCCTCCAGGGTCAGTCGGAACAAGTGTGGTTTCTCTGGATGAGCACCAGGTGAAGTAGTTGGCTTCCAGCTCAGGGCCATGTTGTAAAGAAAAGACACATCTTTAAATGAACTCACACTTTGAGAAGGGTGTGGTGACAGACTCCTTGAGGAAACATCCAATCCACAACTCCTTCCTCACCCTATCCTAGGGGCACACGGTCATTTCTTGGAATTGGTCAATGGGCATAGTTACCCACCTTCGGGGGCAGATTCAGATTTTGAGAGACCTGTTAATTGTAGGTAACCTTGACATGATATGATAAAAATGACACTTTACCTTTGTGGTTCTTTCTCTCAAAAATTTACAGCACCAATCTAATCACATGGAAACATCAGACAAATTGAAGAACACTCTACAAAATACCTCACCAGTACTGCTCAAAACTGTCAAGGTCATCAAAAATAAGTCAACTGGAGAAATTGTCACAGCCCGGGGGAGCCTAAGCAGATACAATGATTAAATATAATGTGGTTTCTCAGATGGGGAAAAAAGAACATTAGGTAAAAAAATCAAGGAAATTTGAATGAAGTATATACTTTAGCTAATAATGGTATTTCAGAATTGGTTCATTAATAAATAGTAAGAAATACACCACACTAATGTAAGATGCCAATAATTGGGGGAAGTAGGTGCAGGGCAAATGGCAATTCTCTGTGTTATCTTTATAATTTTTCCATAAGCCTGAAACTATGCTTAAAAATATTTAATTAAAAAATGATGGCAGATACAAACAGAAATATAGGAGGAAAGGAGAAGCAAAGAAAAGGATAAATGAATAAATCTAAGTGAATATTGACTGTTAAAACAATAATAATGGTAATATATTGTGGGGTTTTAAATAAATGTGAAATTACTGTATATGAAAGCAATAGCACAAGAGGTGGGAAAAGGTAAATGTAGTAAAATGACTTTTAGTTTCTGCATTGCCTAGAAATTAAGTGGTAAAAGTACTGATTTATATGAGATTTTAATAAGTCAAAGATGTGTGTTTTAAAATAATGTGTAACAAACTAAAAGAACAGGAAAATGAAATCTTTTTTTAAAAAAATCTGATTATCCCAAAAGAAGATGAAAAAAGACAGGAAAATGAATATAGGATAAGTGGGACAAATAGAAAATAAATAAGATGCTAGGTTTAAATCTAAACATATCAGTAATTACATAAAATATAAGTAGGTTAAATATTTCAATTAAATTTAAAAGGTCAGGCTGGGTTTAAAAAATAAATATAAGCTGCTTTTAGGAAACATGACTTCTGAATAAGAGTACAGATAGGAGAATGTAAAAGGAAGAAAAACAGGACAAACACTAAATAAAACAGAGCTGTTATAGCATACTAATATTAGCTAGGTATACTTTAGGAAAGAAGCATTACTAAAACAAGGAGGGATATTTTGTAATAATAAAATGCCACTGGAAGATAATTATGTATTTGTATACACCTAATAAGCCTAAGAAATTGATACCGATACAAGAAAAAGTAGAAAACTATTATCATAGTTGGGGATTTTAACACATCTCACTCAGTGACTGATAGAACAAGCAGAAAAAAGTAAAGACAACCCAGAAAACAGAAGAAAATATTTGTAAATTATATGTTTGATAAGAGACTAATTTCAGCATATATGAAAGATTTACAATTCAATAATTGAAAGGAAAATAATCCAATTTAAAATGGGCAAAACTTTAGGCATTTCTCCCAAGAAGATACAGAAATGTAACTAAGCACAGAAAGAAGATGCCCGGGGTCTGTAGCAATTCGGGAAACGCAAGTAAAACCATGAGATATCACTTCATACACATCTAGGATGGCTAAAATCTAAAACACAGACAACAACAGTGTTCATAAATATGTGGAGAAATTCTAGCCCTCATGCATTTCTGGTGGAAAGGTAAAATGATACAGCCCCTCACAAAACAATCTGGCAGTTCCTCAAAAATTTAAACACAGAATTACCATATGACTCTGCAACCCCAGGCCTATACCCAAGAAAACTGAAAATGCATGTTCACGGAAAAACTTCTACACAAATGTGTATAGCAGCATTATTCACAACATCCAAAAAGTACAAACAACCCAAACATCCATCAACTGATGAATACATAAACAATACCTATGTAATGGACTGTTATTCAGCCATATAAAGTAATGAAGTACTAATATGTGCCACAGCATGGAAACACCATGCTGACTGAAAGATGCCAAATGCAAAAGGCCACAACTCATGCAAAAGGATTCAACTTATAAGAAATATTCAGAACAGATAAATCCATAGATACTGAAAATTAGTGGTTACCAAGGGCCAGAAGAAGGAAAAAGTGGGGAAGGTTTCTTTTGGGGCTGATGAAACATTCTGAAATTAGATAGTGGTAATGGTTGCACAATTTTGTTAATATACTGAAAACCACTGAATTGTACACCTTAAAGGGTAAATATTATGGTTTGTGAATTATATATCAATAAGAAAGTAGACAAGGATAAAAAAGATTGAAGTATAGTTAAGAAGCCCTCATTGACATATGCAGAACTCTTAAGTGTACACAGAGAATTTACTAAAACTAGTCATGTACTAGAAGTCACAGTATTAGTACTCAGCAAGCCTTAGCACATTTCAAAGGTTTAAAATGACTCAGAGTATATTCCTGACCACACTGAAATTAAACTAGAAATCAATAACCAGTAAGTGAGACACAGAAAGACAAATATTGTATACAACATCGCTTGTATGTGGAATCTTAGAATGGGTACAAATGAACTTATCTACAAAACAGTAGAGTCATGGGTGTAGGAAACAAACATGATTGCCAGGGGATAAGGAGGGGTGGGGAGATAAATAGGGATATTGGGAATGACATATAACACTATTATTTATAAAACAGATAACTAATGAAACCTGCAGTATAACACAGGGAGCTCTACTCAATACTCTGTTATGGCCCACATGGGAAAAGTAGTTTTTAAAAAAACAGTGGATATATGTATAACTGCTACAGTTTGCATACACCTGAAGCTGACACAACATTGTAAATCAACTACAATAAAATTTTTCTGAAAAACATTAACATACTGAAAAAAAGAAATCTATAACCAAATGTAAACTTATGAATCACATGTTGAATTTTAAGCCGTACACTTCTGAATTACTCATGTGTCAAAAAAAAAAAATCACACAAAGTTAGACTCTATTTTGAATATTAATGAAAGTAATGTGTTAAAGCTTCTGAGATTCAGTTAGAACCATGCTTACAGAGAAATTTATAACCTTATTAGATTACATTAGAAAAGAAGAAAGGATGAGAACCAATGATAGAAGTATTAATATCAAGAATTTAGGCAACAAAGGCAAATTAAACCTAACAGAAAAAATGAAGAAAAATATGAGAGAAAAACTAGCTGAAAACAAATGTAAAAGCAAGAAAAACAAACAAAGCTAATGTTGTATTAATCTTTGAAAAGATTGACAAAATTTACAAATATCTTACAAGATGTATCAGGCAAAAGAGATAGTTGATAT